ATGTTTGCATATATACGTATGCATGTTTGCATATATATGCATGCATGTTTGCATGTATATGTATGTATGTTTGCATATATATGCATGCATGTTTGCATGTATATGTATGTATGCATATTTGTTTGTACATATGCATACAGGCATATATACATACATTTGTACATACATATATATGCACATAGATACATACACATATGTGTACATGCACACACACATACATATATAAGTACATACATATGCCAACACTTGCGTACATACATATAAATGTGCACACTTACTTACATACACATTTACACAGAGACAAAAAAAAAACAAAAAAAAAGCAATATATATATGTACACACTTACGTACATACATATAAATATACACACTTGCATACACACTTACACACACACACAAAAAAAAAAACAAAAAAAAAACACTACACTACCAGCTTTGCATGAAAAGCTGCGGGGCCTACTTAAATTCTTGAGAATCGAGGAGGAGAGCACTTCGCAGAAATTCGTTTTATTTAAATTTGCAGGACAGCGACAAATAGGCTTCAGCTGCGTTTGGTATTAAAACACAAACATGCGTGCATACATATATACATAAATGCATACATACATGCATGGACACACGCCCACACATACATACACACACACACGCGCACATACACACATATGTATGATATTTATAGGCCTTCGTATAAAATACTTGAATTTTATAAACGAATTAAGAGCACAATGTATGTTTAAACAAATTTGTATATAATTTACAAGAAAATTGTATTGTTAAATCTACATTTGGGTTAGCCAATGCGAAATCTACGGATAACATATCAAGCAATTACTTGCAGTTCGTCGATCAGTTTTAAGGAATTTTCAATAACATTTATCCATAAAATTTAGAAAGGTCTTTAGAAAACAGCCGAGGCTTTACGCTGTTTGGATCGAATTCTCAAATAAACTATGCAGTTGACCAGCCCAACAGTTCGTTTTTGAATTGCGCTAAAGCGTTTAACGTAAAGTTTAACTAAACATAAATAGGAGCAAGCGTAAGAAAAATGACTAACAAGCGCGCTTTGAGCACTGAACAAAAGAGAATCCATTATGACGAAGAAGAAGGCAGATAATTAGATATCCAAAAGTACGGGCTTTGTCTCTTTGGCACATTTGAACACCGAACGCATCATTTTGAGAAAACCCGTATCCTTAGGCTTTTCCAGGCCGCGTTGCACGCGATTTTTCATGACCGATATGAATTCCTTGTTGCTCAGCTGATTATCGTCTGCGAGAAACAAATAAGTGTCGCATTCAGTTTTCAATGAATTGAATAAAATAGCCAAACATACTGTTCTCATCGAATATGGTAAAGACCACGTCGACCACATGATCGGAGAGATTAACCATGGCCACAGTTTTGGCCACATGCTGCAGCGTTTGCTGATCAATCGAGGCGCCAGCAATGTGATAGAAAGTCAGAGCCGTGTCCACATCATTGATGTTGTTCAAAAAGTGAAAGAAGTCGAGATAATCCTCTTTGGATATGCCCGTGCCATGGTCACGAAAACGACGCTTAACGCGCTTCAGTTTCTTTTGCTTCTTCTTGGGCGGATAGCCGGCATATGCGAGCAGCAGCTCGGCAAAGTCTGCCTCGGTTATATTGCCATCGTCATTGGGCTCCTTGCGTTCAAACTCTAGAGAGAGTATTTCGCGTTGCAGCTGCTCCTGAAAGTCCAAGAACTTTTCGATTGTCAGCTTCTCGTCCATGTTGGGCCCAAAGAAGTATGTTATCAGGGCCGAATTTACACCCTGGCGAATGCAGAGAAAAGTATTTTAGTGAAAATCTATACAATAATAAGGTATATTGTGTTTGTAACAAATAGAAAAATGTGTGTACATTTGCAGGTAGTTTCAAGTGGATGCAAAGTATGTGCAATTATTAGTTGAGTAAATGTGTGGGTGAGAGGGGTGTGGTAGCAAAATGAAAGTTTAAAAGCGTTTGTTGTTTTCACATAAAGTACCTTCAAGGACTGTAAGTAGTAGTCAAATAAAGGAAGAGAAGTATATATGTACACAGTTAGACACGCATTTAACGTACACGCGTCATTCAAAAGGATTAAAGCCAAAAGACATAGAGAATATACAGTACAAAAGATCGTTTAGTATGGCATTCTCAATACTCGCTCGCCCGCTCGCTCGCTCGCTGCGCAGATCTGTTGCCGGAGCGCACAGTCCATTCAAACGATAATTACCTTGAATGTGTTCCCTGTATTCGCATGATCCCGATGCCGTGTACCCATGCTGGTCTGCTGGCGCACCAGAGTCGCCACCATTTCAAACTCCTCGCAGTCCACATCCCCGTCGCCATTTAAATCGAACATGCGAAATGCAATCTCGAAGTGGCGACGCGAAACTGTAAGAGACAAAAACATCTTAGTATACAAATTGACGCAGTAACATTAATGAAAATTGACTTACTGGAGAGTACGGTGAGCAGAAAGATATAGTCGGAAAAGGTAATGAGTCCATAGGAGCCCAGCTTATAGAATATGCTGTTCTTTTCCAGTTGCAAGTTCAACTGCTCCCCCACAGACTGTAAGTAAACAGTTATAAGAGCAAGGGATGCCATTCAAAGCAATTTAAATGTAGTTACCTTGGGATCATAGCGACGATACTGATCCAGACCCAAACCTGTAAAAGGCAAATTGCATTAGGCAGACTGTGTTTAGATATAATTCGGGATTAGTTAGTTTGGAGAGCGATGTGGAATTGGGGTCGGAGGTTTTAAGCCACATACCATCTGGTTGTTTCATGCCTGGCGTCATGCTAGTCAAAAAATCGGTTGGTGTCATGTAGACCTCATGGCGATCATCGGCGACCGGCACTTGGATGGTGGCAAAGTAGCGAAATACTTTGTCTGGCGTCGAGAATTGCCTGATGCGATTCTCATACTCAATGATCTAAGCAATAAGCGTTTAGGAAGATTACAATTACTCTTGTTTGTTTGGTTTTAGCTAAGTGCGAACAAAACGCAGGCAGTGCAGAAGAAGAAGGTTGGTAATTGAACAGAAATTGAAAAACTAAGCGCTGACGCCAACATAAAACTGGGACGCATTTATGAGCAGTTCGTGTTAGTATTTAGTCTAGATATGCCTATATAACTCAATTACCATCTGGTTGTTTAATGCCCGGATAGATAGAGCGCAAAAAGTCCTCGGGTGTCATGCATACAACTGTCTGTGTGGCATCCTGTAGACGCACCGTGGCAAAGTAGCGAAAGATTTTGTCTGGCGTTGAGAATTGCCTGATACGATTCTCATACTCGATTATCTAAGAGGTGTATATTGATGTTGTGATGTGTGTAATGGCAACAGAAAATGTGACGGGCAACATAAAGAGAAACGAAAGTCATAAGAAAACTTAAGTGAATAGTTAAATATTTATATGTACAGCATTGTAAAGACACAAAAGGTTTCTCAGTGGCATCGATTTATGTTTCGCATACCTTGCGCTCGCGAAAGCCAACTTTTTCCTTAATCTTTTTGCCATCGTGCGGGTTCAGACGCGCCTCATCGTCCTCCGACTCATCGGAGCTGCTGTCGCCATTTACTCCGGCCGCATCGGACGGACGCTGGCCAGCATCCGCGTCCACTTTGGGTATGAGCAAGCGTTTCACTCTAAAAATAGATGCATTTTACATATCGATCGATTTTTGTTGGTTAGATGACCAAGCTAATACTCACTTGCCCCAGTCCAGCACCGAGATGACAAACAAACTGAGCACCAAAAGGTGAAAATATTTGGTCACCTGAGGGGTTTTCTCCTCGCCATGGCCAAAACGCTTGTGCCCGCGCGTTTGTTGCACTTGGAACTGGGACGCAGCAACATCTGCTTTTATTGCCAAAATCGGTTGGTATTTGTGGTTGTTGACTAAGGATGAAATTGTGCGGCAATTCTGTAGAGTAGGCAGTGCTGAACGCTTTGCTAGAGCCGCCAGCGCCTGCCGCGTTACCAGAAAACGCAGCACAGACATTTTCAGACAATGTTCTTATTCTAGTTTATTGCGTTTTTGCACTCTTATTTTATGCGCATATTCGCATTCGTTCGAGAACTAGTTAATTGTGAATGAATCAAACCAGTTCAATTTGAGCAATAAAATGCCAACGCTTAACAACACTGAAGTTAAACATAGCTGATGGCACAATGCTTCTATTGTTTCGGAAGCAGCGGTCTGGGTAAAATGTTTGTTAAGCAAACATTGTCTTCCCATAGTTATTTAAATTATTCTAAGCAATGGGTAATTTGATCTAAAATCTAGTCAAGTTTTGCCTTGATATTTATGTTTGTATATTTTAATAGGAGAGCAGCAACAGATTGAGCTGCAATTCCAGCATCAACAAGAGCTGCCATGTGAGCAGCAACAGAGTGTAAAGCTTGTGGACACTGGGGAGGCGAGGGCGGAAGAGCCGCCGCTAATGGTTATTAGCGCAGTGTATAGCTTGAAGCCAGCGAAAAGACCATTGACGATTAAACAATTAATTGCTAAGAAACTAAAGGAAAGGCACCATCGAGTTATAGCTAGGATTGAGATAAGCGACAGTGAATCCGAGAATGGAGAGGAGGCAGCACCCAGTGCAAATATTGCGTTCTGAGGAAATCAGGCCAGATCAGTGAACTGACGTGAGTTCAAGGAGTAGCTCTAACCCAGTAGAAATAATCAATAAAATTCTATAATCATTAGTTTGTACATTAACTGAAGTAAATGTACAAAAAGTTCCCCATTATATGGCGTGCTCCCAGATCAACTTTCAGCTGGTACAATTTTTTTAAAGCCTATAGTAATAAGGAAAAAACATGTTTACAAATATTTGGGCGCTTTTCGCTATGCAGCCATATCGAAGCGATATGGCAGCACAGTTTGTAAGACAGCAATATGGCAGCACAGTTCGTTAAACCGCAATATGGCAGCACAGATTTTAGAAAATTTGAGCGGCAACTTATTTTTAAATGTATACGTTATATTTTACAAATATTACTTTAATGGGTATTCGTAATGTTATCATACTTTATACTACAGAATATTATTCAATATTGAAACGCTTAAATATATTTCAAATTAGGTTGTAAAATAAGTTAAATTTTTTAAAGGGCAATTCAACAAACTTTAACTATTCATTCATGAGCCTGAGATATGTTTCATTTGTGGACTCAGTATAAGAAAATTTAATTGGCCAGTTGAATAATGTTTGCCACACGCTATCATTCATCGATAATTTGTACACCTCGGCAATATAGCATTTCCCAATGGGGAAATTGGATTCTTATAGCTCGCAGCAATATTAATGGAACGGTGCTGTGTCCCCAACCGGAGCTAAGCGTTTACCCACTATGTCTATCAATATGTAGTTCCATATAATTGCCAAAGACCATTAATTTGTTGCGCAGACATTTTGTGCCAGGACACTAAAAACCTCAACTGTTTCGGTTCAGTGCCTCGGCTTAGCAGCAGGTTCAGTTCTTCCGGGCACAGCACATACGGCGTCAGGTCAGTTATGGTAATATTGCTGCGCTTGGAAAGCAGGCCGGTAACGAAAACATCATCCAGTCGAAAAAAACTGGAACGTTGTGCGGCCACATAGAGCCGCCTCACCACATCCGAGGAGTAGAAGACTGCAAAGCCCGGACAGAAGGGCGGATAGTAACGTCCGGAGTATTCCCAAAAGCTAACGCGCCACTTGGACGAATAGGAACGTATCACACGATCTCTGTACCTAATGGCACACATCAGCAGATTCTCAGATGGAGTCTGCTCGAAAACGGAGTCTGTTGAGAACGGAAGTCTTAAGTGCTGCAGCAGCTGCGGCGTATTAAGATAAATGTCATCATCCACTTTGATCAGCAGCTGCGCCGGCTTGCAGCGAGTATGGAACCATTTGAGAGCCATCACATGCTTATAGGTCAGGTTAAAGTAACCGTCCAGAAAGTTGCCCTGCAACAAGTCGCCATGCCGTGTGTGCTCCGCCAGCAGCATGGCCTGCATCCCATCATCCGCGACGGCGCCGACCAGAAAGAAGAGGCGCAACGGCGACCCGGTTGATATAACGGACGGGCTGCCCCATGTCCGACGTATCACGGAGCGTTTCTCAATGTTGTGCGGCGCCGAGTGGATCATGATGAGCGCCCGGATGTGAGGCTTGCACGACATTTGCTCTATGACAAATTCAAAATCTTGTAAATCGATCAACTGCTGCGGGTTTTCACTGTACGCAGCGCCAAGCTCCACTGTAGTTAGCTGCTGTGGCACAATGCGCCTACTATCCGGCACGAACAGATATATTGACAGGCAAATTATTATCCATAGAAATAATGAAATGTTTAAACCGGTTGCCAATATTTGTTTAATTTTCCGCTTCATGTCGCTGATGTGGAGAAAATTGACGGGCTTCTTTTTTATTGTCCGGTGATCTGAACGTTATATACATATGTCAAATGATGACTACCAGAAAATGTAATGCAATCTCCAGCTTATCTGTACAGGTTCGCAGATAACATATAATCATTTTTATATTTGATAAGAGCTGATAAGTGCAGCTATGTCAGGATCCCAATATATTTTTAAAACAAACGCATGTGATATGTCTCGAAGGGATTTGCCAAATGGCCATGGCGCAGCGCAATCAAGCAATTACCCGCCCTACCTGAACGACAGGTGGTTTTAATGAGCCCCATCAATATGCTGAACAGAATTAACTATTTTCAGCGCCCAGCGCCAAATTAATGGCCCAGAAGGTCACAGCTATAAAAATCGGACAACTGTTTAATTAAATATGAATCGCTGTAAATGTTTTCAGGTACCGAATTTCTTGAACCCATCACAGAATAAACAAATGCTCTTTAAAACACGCAGGGGATTTCGTTGGTGAAATTTAGAAAACGTGTGGAAACTTGCAAAAATTGTAATCACATTTGGACAGCCGCACAAAGTGTTCTTGTGCAGTTATCCATTAAATATGAATATTAAAATAATGAATACGTATTTATACGAAAATCAAATTGAGCGATATCATTTAACATTATTTTTATCAAGATGTTTATCCTGCTGTTAGATTATGCTATGACCAGGCTTTTGAAGCATAAAACCGTTTAAATGGTTGCCCAATCAATTTTGTTGGCCAGCTTAAAGCAGCTGTCACAAATGTGTTATTGTTATTGTTATTATTCTCTGTTGTTGTTTGTTAGCTTGTCAAAGTTGACTATATGCGCCAATTTACAATAACAACACGCCGGACAGACATGCACGGCCAACAAAAAAGCAAATACAAGCTGTTGACTCCGCCTCCGCCTCCGCCTTCTCCACTTCTTTCCACTGGGGCCAGCATTAATGGCGGTCAGTTGATGGGTGCCCAGGTGGGTTGGCACCCACATATGGTCCGCAAAAATGTTGTTTCCCTTCGGAAGTGGAGCAGGCGGACAATGGCGCGCATTCGGCATGTGGCAGGCGAGCGTTACGGACGTAAATAGTATATAACACATTGCATATTCCGTTCCCTCAAATTTCGACGTCGAGTATATATATATATATATATATGAAATTGCATGTTCTGATGAAAATGTCATCATTGTTGTGGGGCTGAATGATGGGCTGCGGTTCGTCCATGGAGACACCGCCAAGTGCTGCCGCACAGCGTCTACAGGAAAATGGCGGCCCCAATCTAACGGTAATTTCCCAATCAATAGACCTCGAGCCGTTTTTGTACAAACTTCTGTGCCCAGCATATAGCACAGCAATATGTGCGCCTGGACGAGCAGATCAGCAAATTGGAGGGCAGTTGCCCGGGTCCGCGTATGGCCACCGTCGAGGCCTGGATAGAGCATGTGCAGGCCAGGCGCGATGCCATGCTGGGTCTGGAGGGCATGGAGCACACGGCGCGCCCAACAACGGAAACGGTAACGAATGCACAGGGCAAACCGGAGGCAACACAATTAAGCAGCTACCCATTGACGCTGGTGGGTGGGGAGCGTGGGGGCAACGAAATTGTGGCCAATACGCCCACCAAGGACTTGGCTCAGGTGAGTGTTGCCGACAATTAGCCGCTTGGCACATGCTTAAGGCCCTAATTTGTGCTTACTATTGGAATATTATAATGGCTATGACCTCGTTCTATAATTACCCGAACGACCCTTAGCTGGCGCATAATCTAGGCGTGATTGCTGATCCACGCAAGGCTTCCATGCACGAGGACTTTTTTGCCAACTTGAGCGAATCGGCGCTCTACTTACTTAGCATACGTTATTATGGCGAGCTTCTGGAGCATACCAAGCAACGCCTCAAGACACTGGCCGCCAGCTATGCGGAGCTGAATGACCTCTATGTGAATCAGGATGGCATTATTGCCTACATAAGCGGCGGCACCTATATGACGCGCCTCGAGGAGAGCATCGACGAGCAGCTGGAGGTGGCGCGCGATACCCGGGACAAGCTGGGCAGCGCCCTGGAGCAGTGGCGCATCTGTGGGCTGCTTCTACGTGCCGCCGCTGACTCCTCCACGCAGGCCCTAAAGCAGTGGCGGCATCTGAACCGGCATATGTGAGTAGGCGCGTATTTGATTTTCTATTTCTCATTATGATTTTTGTTTTCAACTCTATTTTAATTAAAATTAAGTTCATGTTTCACTACCATTTGTTCCGATAACTTCAACGAAAAAGTGCGATTACCGTTAAAAGAAACGATAGGCGGGCAGCCATTTTGAATTGGTTAATTTTATAGAAATACTCCCCAATTTAATTAAGCAAGTTACCTTTCATAGCTGATAGCTGTTTGCTTTTCAGCGATCCCAAGCAGAAGCTGCAAGCAGCTCTGGACTGTCGCAGTCTGTTGCATGCATCGCTGACGTCACTGGAGGCAGCGCAATTGGCACTGCCGCATGTGGAGCTGAAGTATATGAGTCATCGCCAGGTGTTGGCGGTTAATCATTGCAATACGTATTTAATTACAGATATAGCGAATGCAGCGCGGTAAGTTTCTTGAGCCAATGTTTATCAGTTGTTCCATTTATACCATTTCCTTGGCAGTTATGAGCACACGAGTCGCGTCTTTAGCAGCTATGAATCGAATATTTCCAAGACATGTACCTGGCTCTATGATACATTTAATAAAACACTGCGCGGCGACTTTGACAAGGCGGAGGAGACGGTGCGACGCTTGGCCCGAACACTGCGCGAGCATCGCGAGGAGATTTTTAGTGCGGCACGCAAATGAACAAATTTTATAAGCCCATCTATTTTTCTAGCTTTAAACATTTACAAAATACTTTTTTTTTTTTAATATTGCTTACACTACAAATTGTTTTAAAATAAAAAGTTATTAAACTTGATGCATTTCGATATGTTAACGGAAGTTCTATTTTCAGAATTACGCGCCGATTAGATCGATAACATTTTTTGAATTATCGCGCCAAAGGTAGACGATTCCAAGGCAACAGAGTTAATTGCGCTGCCAATAACAGAATTTTCGAATGTTAAATTAACAGAAAATTAAATGCACACATTTCACATTATTGTACACTTTATTGAACCAACCAGGTATGTCTAATACCAGTAGCTCTTGGCCGGCGTGCGTTCCTCCTTTATGCCCATTTCCTCCATGATATCCATTTCGAACGTGGACAACTTTGGCTGAAAAGTAATCTCGCTCACAACGGCAGCCGGTGTATCCTTTTCGCGCTCAATGTAGGCTTTGGGCGTTTTGTAGTCATGCGTTTGGTTATTTGTCTCCGGAATGGGTATGATGCGGCCCGAACGCAACGATACGCGCACCTTTTCACCCTCCTCCGTGAAGCGCCACTCAAATTCGGTGCCCTGCAGATCGGATGGGTCCACTAGGCGTATGTCTTTGGTAACATTAAGAGGCGACTCTGACTTTATGATGATGCCCGGGAATTCCTTTTCAGCTCCCACGCGCCTATAATGCCAATTGATGCCCTCCACAATAACCCAATTCCGTTCGGGTATTACCTGAGTGACAATGCCCTGCTTACCCTTATCCTTGCCGACAAGCACTTCAATGCGATCGCCGCGGAAGAAGCTCCAATCCTCTGCACACACACACCGACACGAGTTTATGAATATTATGAATATATCACAAGACACCAGTCCACTTACCAACTGGCTCCAGAAACACTTTTCGTCTCATCGTGCCCGGCATATTCTGTTGCCGGAACTGGCCTGTCCATGACCGGTTTGTGGTATAGCGAAAACGCTTGCGCTCAACGGTACGTGGTAGATAATTCTTTTCGCGTGGCGTTTGCCAATATACCTGAGAAGATTTACACATTAATACGGAAATTGAGACAGGTACTCCACGCCGAAGCGTCAACTGTTACGTGAGCTGCGAGATGTTGATTCAACATAAAACATTTTACTTACCTGCTTTTTGCTGCGCTCAATATATTCCTTGGGCAGATTTGAAAAGTTTTTTAATTTACTAGCTAAATATTGTGTTATACGCATGTTTCTTTTATTTAAAATAGCAATTTATTTGCAGAGAAAAATAACTAATGCAATGCGGCTCAAAACATATGTTTGGCTATTGACATTCACAGCGACTCGGCGACATTGGAGATGGGTGTGGTTTATAAGAAACTATCGTTGCATCATTTAATTATTCAGAAAAGTTATCGATATACCGCATCCATAAAGCACGCAAAGAAGCATCGGTACTGGAATTTTTCTTGTGATATTTACCTGAGAGCGATGCAAAAAACCGGCTTATAATAAAAATAAGGTAAATGCTAGGCTATTTAAATGCATACACGTGCCAGTGCACAGTCATTATCAAGCGCACCGTTGCGCGGACACCAACTCTTAATGAAGAGACGACGACGCTTAGTCATAACCAACACACTCGTACAAACACCGATAAAGATAAACAATAGCAAAAGGGAATTCAAAATAAATATATAAAATGTCCTACCATGTTGTAGATATGACAGATCCCTCCGAGCTACAGCCCGTGCTGCACTCCAAGCATGCAAAGAATCTGCTGCGCTTTCTGCACTTGTTGCCTGCGCGCATGTCCTCGCATGATAACACCAGGTAAGGATATGTTCAAGGTTTGTTAACTTAAATATGACTATTACTTATACTGTCTGTTGTACATTTTTTAAAACAGGAGCACCATTGTGTTTTTTGCCGTCTGTGGCCTCGATGTGCTCAACTCGCTGCACTTGATATCCCCACAGCTGCGCAAGGACATCATCGACTGGACCTACGGCGGCCTGGTGGTGCCACGCGAAAATGAAAAGCGACGCGGCGGCTTTATGGTGAGCATAAATACTTGTCAGTCAGTCAGTCAGTCAGATACGATAGATAAACAAACTAGCCAGGCAATGCCAAACAAACACAAACGTCTCTGTCTCTGGCTTTATCTTTTTACGTGGCGCTGCAGCAGCTACTGCGACAAGCGCTCCGTATCCCATCTCAAATGCTGATGTTATAAATTACACAGATCTAAATAACAACAATTGCCAAGTAAGCTGCTCAAGTGTCTAAGTTGTTGTAGCTCTGGCACGTCAGTTAGAATTCTAAGAATTCTACGAGTATTTTTTACTAAATCCTGCTCAATCAGTTTGCATGGGTGCAGGATATAAAATGAATATTCATTTACCGATTCATGCACGCCAAAATGAAAACCGGGAACTGGTCATGGTCATTACATGCCATGCTTTGGCCCAACAGCATCTAATGGGCTGGGAGTGGGGCAGACTGAAACGTAACCCTTATCACATTTCTATTACGTCAAGTGCTTTTATCAGCGCAACATGTATAACCACTTTTGTATGCGCTACGAGCACACATACATATTGGCAATAACAATTAATTGTGGGCTATCTTTTACAGGGCTGCCGCGCCATGTTACCGCAAACGGAGGACGCTGAGCTGCTGGAATGCATGCGGCAGTATCAATGGGGTCATCTTGCCATGACATATACCAGCATTGCAGTGCTGGTGACACTGGGCGATGATCTGTCGCGATTGAATCGACAGAGCATCGTGGAGGGCGTGGCGGCGGTGCAGCATGCGGATGGCAGCTTTAGTGCCTCCATCGATGGCAGCGAGAATGATATGCGTTTTGTGTACTGTGCAGCAACCATTTGCCACATGCTCGACTGCTGGGATGGCGTGAACAAGGAGGCCATGTTTCAGTTTATAATGCGCAGTCTACGCTACGATTACGGCTTCAGTCAGGAGCTGGAGGGCGAGTCGCACGGCGGCACCACATTCTGTGCGCTGGCCGCACTGGAGCTAAGCGGACAGCTGCATCGCCTGGACGAGACGACGGTGGAGCGCATTAAGCGTTGGCTTGTCTTTCGGCAAATGGACGGCTTTCAGGGGCGACCCAACAAGCCGGTGGATACGTGTTATTCCTTTTGGATTGGCGCTGCGTTGCGCATTTTAAACGGCTTTGAGCTGACCGACTATGCTCAGAATCGTGAATACATACTGAGCACACAGGATGAACTAATTGGCGGCTTTGCCAAATGGCCAAAGTCCACGCCAGATCCTTTCCACACGTACCTGGGCCTATGCGGTCTCGCCTTCATCGGTGAACCGGGCTTGAGCGCTGTCATGCCCAGCCTAAACATCTCCATGGCCGCCTATGTGCATCTCAATCAACTGCACGAACGCTGGCGAGCCAACAGCAGCGGCCTTACCCATGACCTTACCCAGTTGAAGCTGTCCGTGGGCAGCAGCGCGGAAGCGGCCACAAAGACTACCTCGAGTTCGCCTCTGATATCAGCACAATGATGGGAACTGCACACAATTTGTATTTGTACGCTTATTGCTGGCAATTTTTTGCAAACGCTTTTTAAACATTATTTGTTGAAATCTGGTATTTAAGTAAAAAGTTGAAAACATTAGCTGGATCCTAACGTGTATAAGTAGATTGACTGGGTAACGCGAACTTCTTGTACCTTTAACAACGAACAGCTTGTTTTTATGGCATCAACATCTTTAACTTTCTTTCTTTCCTTTTAGCCAGAATATATTAGTTTCTATATTGTACTTGTATAGCTTAAATTAATATTAACAACTGTAAGCTTAAGCTAAACAATTGTAATAAACTACGTCCATATTTACAAAGATGTCGCTCGTCTGACGATAGCCTCAATAGACCCATGGGTTATTCAGTTGTTTCATACCTGCAGGTACAAGCGATGCTGCAGTGCGGGCAGATTGTAGCCCATGCTCGGCCGATCGATGTGCATGCGTCCGCGCAGGGGCGCCAGCACGCGCTCAGTGACCAATGGACAACGTTGCACCATCAGGGACTGCAGCAGTGGGCAGCTCTTGGTCAGGGCACTGTAGTTAACAGGAGAGAGAGAGAGAGAGAAAGTGATGTGGAACTAGTAAACAAGAAAGTCACTGGGATAGAAATCGTTTAAGTTGTAGGCATTATGGGCATCCTGGCGTGGACGTGGTCGATCAATGTGCACCCGCTGACGCAAAGGCGCCAACGAGCGCTCCGTGATACGATGGCAGCGTTGGATTCGGAGCGATTGCAAACGTTTGCAGTGCACGCTGAGTGCGCTGAAAGAGATGCAAAGGCAGAGTATTGTGTGCAGTCGAGTCGCGGCCAAGGGACGCCACACACAAAAACCAGTGTTGCCAACTGCTTATAGAAAATAGTTGCCAAATGCCGTTCACAACAGCCGAGAGATTTCAAAATATTATGCCATAAAGCAAATACTGTTCTTCAATATTTGAATAAATTTGAATAGCTAATTAAAATAGCTAATGCAGTGCAAAATGCCAATTATGTCCAGCTGAAAATCGTCACACATAGCTAGAAAACTGCTGAATTGGCAACACTGACAAACACACACACACACACGCATGCACTAATACATATCTAATCGAATAACCGTACTTACTGGACACCATAATCGGAGATGGCGGCACAGCCAATCAGATTAATGTGCTCCAGCTCGCGACAGAAGTTGCCAATCTGTATGAGCACCTGATCCGTAACGCTGGGCGTGTTGGCCAGCGACAGGACGGTCAGTTTGTTGAGCTTGCGAAAGAAGATAATCAGACAGCGTTCGCCAATGGCGCCGCAATATGAGATATCAAATTCCACCAGTTTGCTTTGGTGCAGCGTCAGAGCATCGACAGCACCTGTGGTTAGCCACTGGCATTTGGAGAGCTTTAAAATGCGCAGCTCCTTGCACTGCACAATGATGGGTTGCAGCGACAGTGCCGTTATGTTGACGCATTCGTTCAGATTGACGGCGGATAGTCGCTGTTTGTTGTTCTCCAGCAGCGGCAGAAGCAGCTCATCTGTTAGCCATTTGCACCTGGCCAAATGCAGTTGTTCCAAGCGACGACAGCAACGCGCCAGGACCTTAAAACCCAGCTCAATATTGTGTGTATTGTTGCCCGACAAATGCAGCTCCTGATGTTTTTCCAAAGCTGCCTCCGCCAGGCGCAATGCTGTGCGCGAACAGCTTCGCAAATTGAAGAGGTCCTTGACTGACAGGTAGGTGCACATTTTTGGTATGAGCACATCGTCCCAACTAATGTCAAATAATGTAAGCTCTCCATCGTTTGCCCTTAGCAGCTGCATTGGGCTAGGCGTTCGCGTTCGGCTGATGCTGCTGGCCATGGCAGCCAAATGTGTCTCCTCCTCGATGTGAAGCGTGCACATTTTGTGTTCGATTACGTGATAGCAATCTTGCCAATCTGGTCTGATTAACAATTCTGCGCAACAACCACCAAGAAGTCAATGAATGTTGTTTACATGCAAACAGCTGATTCCTCAGGTGCCACACAAGAGCAATGGCACTTGGAAGATTACGCAGCAACAGCGGCAGAAACCTTGAATATTGTACTGTGACGTCACACGCAACACAAAGGAACGACTAGTAAAACTATCGATACAATGATACAAAACGATACATCGTTAAAAGAGATATGGAATACGTTAATTTTGCAAATGCCAAACAAAGAAACAGATCATTATATATTATATCAAACGCAAACAATGTTTGCGTTAATGTTAACTTTTGATTTAGTTATTTTTCTTATTTGAGCAAAACTTTTATAATTATTATTATTATTATTTATTTTTAACTACACTTGTAATGTGACACATATTTGTTTATTGCGTTTAAAGTTTTAACAATGTCAATTTAAAAACTGTGGAGCACAGTCCAATTAAATAACTGAGCAGCATGAATATTTTCTTGAATGCATTTGCACGGCTTTACAACGAGAACTAAAGAGCAAGAGCACAATACCGCAAGCCCATGCATAACGTATACGCAGTGGTTACATTGACGAAGACATAAAATGCGAGCGCACTTTTTACGATGGCAGCTTCGTTATTTTGTTTATGGTGAAGGAAAAATCAAACAAATAAAGAAAGGTCTTGACACGTCACCAAGTGTAGAAAGCGTATTGCAATCATTTAACATAACTATCAAAATGTCAAAGTTGAAGACCAACTTTTGTTTTTGTATTTCATGGAAATCTACGGATCAGCGCTTAACGAGAGCTTTCTGTGATGTTAATTTTTAATAAATACTATACTCAATTACATTGGAAAGTTACGTTTGACAGGTGGTCAACTATTACAATAAACTTTTTCTGCGATAAAACTTCAAGACGCCAAATTTGTAGCAAAGTTAGTTAAGTGGATTTTTAAACAAAATGAACAGGTGTTCGAACAGTTCGTAAACGACTCGCAGTCAATAAACAACATGAACGAAGTACCTGCATATGCCATACAAACTCGACGCAAATATATTGACTTATATACGGAGGTGCAAGCCTGGCTTAATGCGCCCAATCTAAGCGCAGTGGAGTCTCAGCATCGCAGGGAGATGCTCCAGTTGCGTCTGCTAATGCTGGACAAGATCGATGAGGAGTATTACATTAGGCGCTATATAAAACTACGCACGCGCTGAGCCGTAGGCATTTAAAACAACAAATTGTTTATAATTATATTATGATTACTTTTTATATATTATATTGTTTAATCAGCATTTGCGGCTGATCAACTTTTTAATGTTTGCAGCATAATAAATGTGATTCGTTTCCGCTTGTTATTTTTATCATCGCATAATTATAATAGTAAAATAAACATAATACATAAAAGTGATAGTGAATTCTGATTGATCTTCCGTCAAACTGTGTTCTTCGCTCAACGCTCAATATAGAGTTATACATAATATATTTTAATATAATATTTATAGGGTATATGGTATATAAATAGATTTCCTTTCACTTATTTAAAAACTTAGTTTTTGGCGCTAATGCAAACATTTGCCCGACATTTTCTTAGAGATTACAAACAAAGCTTATCGAATAACAAAAATAAACATGATAAACAAATATTCAACTTTAGCATAAAAGCTGGAAGTTAATAGATAAATTCTGATGTATCAAAGTAAAAATAAATATTCCAGTTGAAACAAGTTTGCAATGGGGTTTATATTAGAATAGAATTGGCAAATTAATCAAAAACAAAGTAAAGGAAACTACAGCGGGATTATTAGTTAACGGTTTTACCGCTGCTGCTGATAGATAGGAATGTTATTCTTGACGGCATCGTTTTGCATATGATATGCTGGCGCCGCTGCTGCTGTGGCTGGTGGCATGCCACCAAGATGCGCCATCGACATGGCGGCCATTTGCTGATGTAGCTGACTAAAATGATCGTTGTGATTGTGTTGTTGCTGCTGCTGTTGTGTTGGTGGCTGCTGGGGATGTGGTGCTTGTTGCTGTTGCTGTGGCGCCATGTAGCTCTGTGTAACTGGTGGAGCTCCGTTTGGTCCAAAGAACTGTGGCGGCTGCGCTGTAGCGCCCGCCGGCAAATAGGTCTGCGGCGGCGCCGTCTGTTGCTGCTGTGGATGTTGCTGTTGATGCTGTGGCGACATGTAGGCATGTGGCTGTGGTTGATGCTGCTGAATTTGTGTGGCAGCTGGTGGTGCGGCGGTAAATTGCGGCGGAAGCGTCGAGGGCGGCATCTGCTGCTGCTGCTGCTGCTGCTGCTCAACAGGCATTGGCATGTGATAATTAGAAGGCGTTGGTTGATGCTGCTGCTGCTGAGTGGTGACTGGTGTGGGCTGGGCATTGTAGATGGGTTGGGGGTGGCTTGGATGTGACTGCGGAGCCACACCAACTGCAGGCGACTGGGACATGTGAGGCGGCAAAGCTGCAAGAGATCGTTAATGCATTAGCAAATGATTCAATGATAATTAACGGAATTTTTTTACAATTTAACTGCGGCGCATGCCCGTTTTGGTATGGCATGGGCACTTGTCCCGGATAAGCTGTAGTTGTCGTGGGTGGAGCTGCATTATTAGGCTGTGGCGGTGTATACGGCATTGAGTGCATGCCCGGATAGGTTTGGCCTGGCGGGAAGCCAGCAGCACTAGGATAACCAGGTGCGCCGTAGAGCGCAGCACCCGGAAAGCTCCCAGGCATATATGCAGCGACGCCGCCAAACTGTGCAGCAGCTGCACGATCATCACGCATGAGCGTATGATATAGATTAATGGCATCCACTAGATCACTGGAGAGCTGTGTTAGCTGTGCATGCTTGCGATCGACACGCTCCAGTTCGGCATCAATGAGCGGTCCCATTTGATGAACCTGCTGCTCCAAGCGCAACATTTCGTCGCTATCCTGCGAGGGATCCTCGGGATTGGCCTCATGCAATAGATGCAGCAAACGATCAATTTTGGCCTCATCAATTTCCACGGGCTGTGCGGCAGCCGCTTCAGTCTTTTGTTGCAGCAACGCCTCCTCCTCATCGACGGCTGCCTGTTTCTGGGCATTGTTTTTGTGCTGCTGATTGATGTCCAAGCGTTCGGGATCTACAGACAAATCGGCAGTGACAAAGTTGGAGGGAAAGAGACCCTCGCCGCGCTCATTGTAGCCCTTCCACCAATTGGCATCGCTGTCATCCAGCACGTGTATGATTTCTCCAGAAAAGAAGGTCAGCTCATTCTCCTCGGCTGCCTCAAAGTCGTACAGAGCGCGCACAGTGCGAGATGAAGCGGCGGCGCCGCTGCTGCCGCTGGGATTTCCATTTCCATTGCTTGGTGTGGGTGCAGAGCTGCCACCAAACGAGGGATATAACGAGGGATAGGCACTGCTGGTTGTTGAAGCACCTGCCGCAGCACTTTGTTGCTGCTGCTTGGGGCTGCTTTTGTTCTCTTTGAGCGACAGCTCTATGGCTTTGGCTATATCATCCTCCTCCTGCTGGCTGCTGACCACATTTGGATCCTTGGCCAAGGTAGCGGCTGCCGCTTTCGCTGCGGCTGACTTGGCGCTGCTTTTATCGTTCAGATTGCTAAAGTCGTAGCCCTCGCTGCGCAGTTTGGCGTACAGCGAAGGTATCAAATTCAGTTCAGGATCATTCTTGAAATCATTCTCGGCCCAGTTCTTCAGCACTTGACGCATTTTCTGCAAAACAAAATCGATTTAATTTTGAATCTCCAGCTTGCTTGCTTGCCATTTACCAATGAGACTTTCGGCTGTGCCTTGGTCAGCAGGCGCCTAAACTCGGTCTCAAAGTCACGCGACGCCACCTCCAGGTGGAACGGCTTGCCACAGTTGTTCGCGCACGCATCCAGCAGTGTAATAGCCTGCATTACGACATGGGGATCGGCATGGCCCATGCGCCGCATCACCGCCTTGAGGCAGTCTTTGGCTAGACGAGGATTGGTTGTCACCTTGTCGCATACATCCATTATAAATGACCAGTTATCATTCGTGTTCGTCTCGCTCGTGGCCTTTTCTGTGGATCGATCGCAAACATTCATAAGTTGTATGACAATGCTCTGTCCACGCTTTCAACTACTAAAAACAACAACAAATAGAGCAACGACTTCTGTTGGAATACGGTTCTATTTGCTTATCATTGGCAGGGAAAGAATCAGCATGCTGACTCAGTCTGATAAGCGTGGCAAAGAAGCAAAGCAAAATCAATAGAATATGCAGCAAATCGCATTAAAATGAGCAGCAAAAAAGAAAACCCAACAACGAATAATGTATACGCTTTACTAGTTTATCAGGCAGCTATTCATTTCGCAAAACGGGTTGAACTTTAAGCTTGGATTGGTTTAATTAAAATAATTTTAAGAGTTTGCACTTGTGAGATTTCAGAGACGTACATATATGTATCTGGAATAACTCTATTAACAGACCCCCCCGTGAAGGGAATTAGGATGCACAACATTTCTGAATTACAAGGGGTGTCCGACGGTGGGGGTGGTGTCGCTGACTTCAAGGTCAGCGACTGCAGACAAAACTCCAAGGAAGTTCAATGAACAGACGCAGCAGCTGCGCAGCCTCCCAGCAGAGCAACGCATGTGACTCGGTTTGGAATTCAGTTTTCTTTGTGTCTGCTGAGCGCTTAACGAGATGACAGGGGGTGGTACGAAGGCAAACAGATAAGATAAAGCAAAATAGCAGCAGCTGCTAATTACAAGCGGGCAATACTACGACCAATTGGACTTGTCATTGTTGGGCCATGGCAGGGGGGGGTATAAGTTGAGGGCCGGGGAAATGGACAGAGACTTACCCACATCGGCGTCAAACGGCGACGATTGCCCAAATATGCCCATCTCTTTGACCAAAAGCGCACTTAGCTGCCTATTAATTATTTGGGTAATTGTTGTAATTCTGTTTAATTGTGTTCCAAATTTTATGCTTTTCGTTGTTATTGTAACTGCACTTGCACTTTTGTGTGGTGTTTTCGTCTGCTACGCAATCGATTTTCGTGCGTCACAACAACACACATACAGTATCCCGTATTGTCTTGTATTTTCCCTAATTAGGCAGCTGCCAACACGAGGCTGACGATTTGATGTGACTCGAAATTTTTGTAATTTGCATTAATTAAATCGAAATACTGCAATAAAATTGCTGAATAATCACTTGCACCGTTTTTCCTTTGCTTTTGTGTAAAAAATGACTAATGAATATATCGATGTTTGGCAGCTATCGATGTGAAGTGTCAATCTCTGACATCCGATTACTGATATCGTATTGCTTTCGCAGTCTATCGTATGTACAAGTGGCCTATCATGCAGACCTCACACGTTTGTCGCGATTTTTTTGTATATTTGGACAACAATGGCAAGAATATATAGCGACGCGATTTTTATGTTAAGCCTACAAACACTTTTTTGGTTTTTTTTTCTATTTGATTTGCTTACAAGCTATGCTTGGCGAAACAACTAACAATCTGTGACGTGTGTGGGGCCGATCAACTATGTCTGTCAACCAGCTGTATCGTGTATGCCCACTATGAGGCTTAGGGTGAAAAATTTGTAATCGAAAAATAGCAACAAATAAATGAATGAAACTTTTGGAAACATTAAAATGAGATACTAAATTATACTGACCGTTACATAGCCATCACAAGTGAAAATTATCAAGTGTAAAGTGTTAAGAGTTGCTGCCAGCAGCTGAGCTGCAGTGTAGCAACTTTAGTGTTACTGGATACGTTAGATGGAAAGGGGCAAGGGCTGAGATAGCTTCGATTTGTAATTCAATTACGGGCACACACACACACACATAAAATAAAAAGCCGATATTGGACATGGTTTTCATTCGCGATCCCTGTGGCATTGTCTGCCTGATTTTCACCTATGGCGCTGTTATCTATGCAGATTATGTGGTCATGCGCTGGATTATACTGACAACCATGCCCCTGAGGTGAGTACGATTCTTGTTTTGTGATGACAATTCACCTACGTTTAATATCTTGGTTATAGCATCTGGGCGCCCTTCCATGTTGTGCTCTTTAACACGATCGTCTTCCTGCTTGGCATGTCGCATTTGAAGGCTGTTTTCTCAGATCCGGGCATTGTGCCGCTGCCCGCAAATCGCTTGGACTTCTCCGATCTACATACCACGAACAACGGTACAAAACAGATATCCGGCAATGGCCATGGCAGCGAATGGACTGTGTGCACCCGTTGCGAAACCTATAGGCCACCACGTGCCCATCATTGTCGCATTTGCAAGCGCTGCATACGCCGCATGGACCATCATTGTCCGTGGATAAACAATTGTGTGGGCGAACGCAATCAAAAGTATTTTCTGCAATTTCTCGTCTATGTGGGTATTCTTTCCCTTTATTCCATCGGGCTGATACTCGGCTCTTGGGTATCGCCCTGCACGGAATGCAGTCAGAATGTCATTGATTCGCAGCTACGCATGTAAGTTCTTAGTCTCGCTTTGACAATGATAATGGATGGATGAATTGTTGATTGATAGACTCTTCCTTTACTTAGGATTCACTCCGTCATCCTGCTGCTGGAATCGGCGCTGTTTGGACTGTTTGTGACGGCAATTATGGTAGATCAGCTACATGCCATTTTGTACGATGAGACGGCCGTTGAGGCGATACAACAGAAGGGTGCCTATCGGCCGAATCGACGTAAATATCAACTGTTGGCAGATGTGTTTGGCCGCGGCCATCCGGCGCTTTGGCTGCTGCCTTGCGCTAGTCTAAATCACGCCGCACGCTATCACGACACCCCGCTGCTCAGTCACGATGTTTAGAAGGCGTGTGATAAATTCTATTATTTTGTATGTATTATAAATGTATTTTATGTACGCGAGCGCGTGTTCGTATTTGTGACAGTCCCACAAAATCAATTTCTCTTTTTGTTTTATATTTATATCTTCGTGTGATTTCTTTTTTATCTGAAAAGTTCTGAAGCTCCCACCCAGCTATCCCCATAACTCTCACCTTGACTCCAAGCTACAGTTTTGCTTGTGTGTATTATATGCAAAGATTCCAATAATTAATTAACACTTTAGTTAATAATTAATTATTGCACCAGGCGAGCCAAAACATACTCAACAGAAACTCAATATTTTTTTAAAAGAAACTAGTTTTTTCATAAACATACGTAGATCAGATAATTAGCTACATATAAATATATAAATGTGTGTAAAAAAAAAAACAAACAAACAAACAGATAACAAACTAACATTCAAGCATTTAAGAGCAAACAAATTCATATACCAAAAACATAAACATTAATGCCAGGCAATTGTGTATGCGGTAATAGCTCGTATTATATATAAGGCGTAATTAGTTTGATTGTAAACAAAGCTAAATATGTTGTTTTAACTATTGTAATTTTTGTTTATGCGCTTAATTTTATATCGGTCAAGTTCAACATATTTTAATAACAGTTCGATTTATGCTGGAATGACATTAGCCTGTACAAAAAGTGCTTATTTACATAATATTAGTAACACAAGAAGCAGTCGTCCAACAACATTTATACGTTTATATTTTCCACTGAATTTGGGATTGGCTTAATACTGGCAAGTGTCATTTCAGCATAACCAACTGAAACTAATCTAAAGAACGCCTTAATATGCAATTATGTAAAAAACACGGAATCCAATTTGAGAATTAAGCGAATTGTTTCTATTGAACAGGCAACTCTCTCGATGGTCTCAAGCAGCCACAAAGCCAATACATATGCGTATCCTCAACTATGTGTATAGTTTGAAATAAATTTAATGATATACATATGAATAAGTACAAATTGATTTCGTTTCCACTTAGTCCAGTTCGCTGCCCAGGCCCTCAACGCTTATTGTGAGCTGTTGGAGCGCCTGCTTGGCCACACCGCACAGGATGCCCTCCTGTGACCGTTGATCCTCATGCTGCAGTATCTCTACGCACTCCTTGAGCAGATCAATGGCATCCACCAGACGGGCACGCAGCTCGCCACCACTCAGTTTGCTGGCTATGAAGCCGCTCTTAGCCAGCAGCACCAGCGGCACATGCAGCTCATAGAGATTCATAGCACGTGCGCGACTCAGGCCCGGCTCAAAAATGTTCAGCACACGTAACACCTCGCGGCACAGCGACGCCTTACGCTCCAGCAGCTGATCTGTCAGCTGGACCATCTCATAGCCCTGCACACGGCCGTACATCTCGATGAGCAGCTGCCGCAAGCTGGTGGCTATGTAATGCGATGGATGCAGCAGCGATTTGTATTTGCGCAGCAAACGTTCCGATTCCTCCAGGCGCTTTGGACCCATATCGAGAGCCTGTACAGCATTTACCTCGGCCTGTAGCGCGGCCACAATTTGCCGTACCTCCTCGCTGCTTGTGCTGTGGTCGCAGGCGCGGCAGTTCCAGCTGCTGTTCATAGCTGCAAAAAACCAATCGAAAAATGCATAAGGATAAAACATCGAAATTATTTAAGAACTGTATTAAATTGTGGCTGGTTGATATGGAACATAAGAGTAAGCAGTACATGGCCAATTACCCGTCGGGTGCTTGGGCAGCAGCCAGCCCTCCGTGCACTGGCCACACTTCATGCTGGAGAAGTGTGTCTGCAGTTCGCTGGCATCCAGGCAGCGCTCACAGCTGCATGTGAAGTATTTGCCCTCACGCAGATGCGCCTGCCTTTGGGCGGTGCCGTCCAAGGTGTAGGTATAGCTGTGCTGCAGCTGTTGGCCTGCTTCCAGAGCAACCATAGCGCGCAAGCGAATCCTGGACAAAAATAAAAAGCGATTAATCTTGGTAATCGTTGCCCTGGGTAAATTTCAACTCACTTGTAGCCCTCGCTGGGATGAATGGTTCGCGCCGTGTTGGGCACACAATTGTGGGCCAGAATTCCCGTGTATGGATACAGGCAGCGCAACGGATAGCCTTGGCTGGTGCGTGCCTCGAAAGCATTGACTTCCAGCACGCCCACCACTTGCATGATGAGCTCCTCGCTGAAACGTTCAGCCAGCTTGCAGGGACCGCGCAAATATTGGGCTATGTTTACCCGATCCGCATGCCAGACATCTGCATTCTCGCGGCGGGCCTGCTCATGGTGCTCCATGGGCGCCACCTCGTTGAGCCAACGCTCCGGCTGTGCTTCCTTTGCCAGCAACACTCTATGGCGGAGAAATGGCGATGAGGTTTAGATAAAGGCATGATATGCAGTTGTATTGGAAAAGATGAATCTTATATGATTTCAAGAGATTTCATATAAACATAATTGTATAAAATGCATTTTAAAGAACAAATAAATAAATTATTAATGTGGGTTGTTTTCAATTTATAACAGCTGTTATTCATTAACGTTGTGTCTTCATGTTAGCGTCACGCACTAACATATGCAAAAATGTTAGCGTCACTTTAACATTCGCTCGCATACACATAAATATTTGATGTATGCATGCCAAAAATTGGCACAGTTCTTGAGTAATGTGTTTCTATTTTTATGCGTCTGGCGTCTAGCACCTCAGTGGCATGATGCAGTCCAGCTGGGGCCAATGCAGGCTGCCGGCGGGCATCTCATAGAAACGCGCTTTGGCCAACTGCAGCACGGCGCACTCCAGCTCCAGATGTTGGTTGGACGCATTTCCATCACATAGGCTGCACAGGGGCCAGCCACAAAGGGAGCAGCGCTCCTGGACATCTGGACGATAGCAGGCGAGGCATAGCACATATCCATTGCACTTGGGCCCAATGGCAAGGGGTTGCTCCTGCACCAACAGCTCGCCGCGCTGCACTGGCTCGTTGGCGACCAGAAAGCGCCCATAAATGCGGCTACATTCGACTGCCGTGCGATTGACTTCGAGCGCCGGCGTCGCTGTCATATTGCTCACTGACATGAAGCAGGACGATGCGCACACAGCTCGTCATCATTCGTATACATTTTGGCAAAACCTCAAAGATGAACGGCCGCTGACTTGCGTACATTAGTCGGCCAGCTGGCCAAGACGTTGGCCGTCGTTCAACTGGGCCATTTGCGACTGTCAACATTTCTGTGCGATTTTGAGTTGTGTGAACCGCGCACCACTTGCCCCGTGGGCACCCACAAACTAACCTCAATGGTGTTATGCAATCCAATTGTGGACAGACGCCATCCTCGCCGACGTTGCCGGCAAATGTGACACGTGCCGCGGCAAAGATCTCGCACTCGCCCCGATGATCATCAGCATCATCCATGCAGCTGCCGCATATTGGCCAGTCGCACAGCTCGCAGCGGTCCAGCGAGTCGCCGTCCTCGCCGAACTGCAGGAAACGATAGCAGCCCAGGCACACAATTCCACTCTCTCGCTTGGGGCCATAGGCAAAGGGCAGCTCCTCCACAACAACGTCGCCACTCTCCACTGCCTCTGATGTGGCCAGGCAACGGCCGTAGACTGGGTCGTGTTCCAAGCGCGCTTTCAACATGACGTCGCCGCTGCCGCTCCCAAATGCGAGATTTTAATTAAATGCAATTGAGATTCGTATCTAAATACAGAGAACGTGAGCTCTCACGTTTTCAGCGAGCTTCTGGTGTAGCTATAAATAATACACAACACAAGCATTCTGCTCACTGATTCGATGCATATGCATTTTTACTTTAAATAATGTAATTACTTTAAGCAAATCATAACTGTATGTTAGATTTAATATAAATTTCTGTATTTAACGTCTTCAAATTTATTTAGCAATTAACGGTTAAAAGATCGTGGACAGTCAGTTTGGCGCTAAAACCATATAGATGAAAAAGTATCGATGCTTTCCCCACAATGTTGCATTTTCGCAAACGGATAGTATGCAAATCAGAAACATATTAATGTATACGTTAATTCGGTACAATAATTAAATTGAATAATATGAGCTTAATAATTTAATATTAAAGTGGCTTAGGTTTTATTAGTAGCTATTGTTATTATTATTATTTTGATTTTAAGGGCTCATGGTAAGCACCCAACAAGTAATGTCTATCGTGCTCCAGTTTTTTCTTCTTGGTTCAGTATATTCGCGCCCAAAGAGAAATCGTATTTTAGCCATTTTTTATGCTGGTCACACTGACATTCAGTTGCAAATCAATTTTGTGGTGTACGTTGTGTGGTCGTGGTCGTCTTGTTCCTGCGTTTCGCATTACTTTAAAATCTAACTAAACTCATCAAAGTAAGTAAAACTTATCCAAGACATCAAAAATATCTGTCCCGGTTTCATACAGATCAAATATGCATGAAAATCCGTATGTGTAAACGGTTTTTCGTTACAAGTGATTTCATAACCTCGAAATGAAAATTTTGCAAGCAGACACGAAGCCCTCACACATATATACACACACACACACACATACACCCAAAGGGTTTCCATTGTGTTTATGCTATTGTGCGAACTTCTCTTAATATCAATTAATTGATAATGATTTTGTGTCCATTCAAATAAATAAAGCAACCGGCAGACAAACACATGGAAACACCAAGCGGCCATAAAGTTTTACATTCGATTTCCACGATGGCAGCTGCCGGCAATAGAGTACTTTCCTGTTACGTAACATGTTGCCTGCGCTGTGCTGAAATTTGTTTTGATTAAATCGGAACCTACCTTTTGGTTTCTTTCTTGCTGCTTTATCACATGCATCTGTCTGAGCAGTTTTATCAATTTTGGCTTGTTAAACTTTTGCTGTTTGCTTTATTATTGTTTTGTTTGCTTTTTGGCCGCTGGTCATGTGAGCAGCAATGGGAGCAACTATGCATTTTATTTAATTTGAGTTAGGGGTGAGTGTGACATCATGGAAAATCGATAAATCGCCTATTTTGTAACACCTTTTAGCTGGTGCAGTGGGTTAATGCTCGGATAAAAACTTGTTTTTGCTGGAGAGTGTTGCGTAACAGCACACGCTTCCAATCTTAGATGAAAACTGAGCCTGGGCACGCAGAAGCAATCCGCATAGGCGAATAAATTGTTTATGTTATCTACTGTGTCAAGGTCGTGCTGATGAAATACGAGTACCCAAAGTGAAATCAAACCAAGGCAAACCTTCTATACCTTTAAATTCTCTGCTTTCCATCCTTGTGACCCATTACATCACGAAACATGTATGTATTTTGTCCGCGTTCATAGTTTTTGCTAAAATTCTTTGTGTTCTTTTAGCCGGGAAAGCGCATGATTTCACACGCCGTCGTCTGTATTGCTTATGTTGTTGGTCATTTCCGTGCCGTTTGGCCGCTGTCCAAACTCGCCAATAATATAAAGATTTCGCTTTTGCCTGCCTTTCATATTTTGCCGCTGTTTTGGCACATGTATCACTATTTTCGCCACGCCTGTGAGTAGTTTGCGAATGCTTGCATATGTGACGTCAAGTAACGATGAGACCAAAGCAGCGATGTACTGTCTAGCTCTACGTACATATGTATATATGCATATGTATGCATGTGTGTGTGCACGTCAAGTGGTCAATGAACGTTTTGCTGACAGTAATTAACGGAACGGCAGCAACAACAAAGTGTAAACAGAGATACAAAAATATGCTGCACAGTAGGCCAAGTGATAACAGACTAAGTTTAATTGAATTTTATAAGAATTATTTGCTTAAATTATTTTTTTTTTGAAAAATGACTGATCACGGCAAGAAGTATTGGACTTATAATGTTTTGAGGGAGAAACTAAGACGCAAGGAGGTAGGCTGAGACCGCAGTTACATACACTTTCTATACATACACAATTTTGTGGCTGTTGAAATTGCTTGCAATCTTTTTCAATCGACTGTGGCGCACGGTGCGTCATCAATTGCACGATCACTAGCAGTTGCCTCGCACGCTCTCGATTTTACTCATCCAATCACCGAAGACGTGCGTTGACCCCCATTCACACAGACACGACACTCATACATTCGTCGATAGAGAGCAGAGATAGTTGTGCAGTTTCTTTGCCAAATTTGGGCACACTTAACAAGTGAATACACTTTTCACCTTGAAAACCAATTTCTTTTGATTTTTGTTTGGTTTTGCAAAAGAAATTGACATTTAGCCAAAGTACAGCAAAAAATATCTGTAAAGTTCTTTCACTTTTGCGTTTATTTTTAAAAATGCAACTGAAGAGAGAAAGTCGCAAATTTGTTTTCTAAATTTTCTTCAAATTCGCGCTACTCAAATAGTTGTTTAATGGTGTTTATTACCATGCAAATATTTGCTTTTATGAAATGTTTGTTGCCCAATTGTGCGTGATAAGATAAGAGCTGCTAATCTAATCTCCAGTTTCACGCAATTGCAGACTCTACATATGAAATTGATCATTAATATATGCGTGCAGACATTTGTACATTTTATTTATTAATGTTATTTAACCATTAACAGATGGCACCTCCATCATACAGCGATTTGGGCAAACAGGCTCGCGACATCTTCAGCAAAGGCTACAACTTTGGCCTGTGGAAGCTGGATCTGAAGACTAAGACGTCGTCGGGCATTGAATTCAACACAGCCGGCCATTCGAACCAGGAATCGGGCAAGGTATTCGGCTCCTTGGAGACGAAGTACAAGGTCAAGGATTATGGCCTAACCCTGACGGAGAAATGGAACACAGACAACACTCTCTTCACTGAGGTGGCTGTACAGGATCAGTTGCTCGAGGGCCTCAAGCTGTCGCTGGAAGGCAACTTTGCGCCACAGTCGGGCAACAAGAACGGCAAGTTCAAGGTTGCGTACGGTCATGAGAATGTCAAGGCCGATTCGGATGTCAATATTGACCTGAAGGGTCCCTTGATCAATGCCTCTGCCGTGCTGGGCTACCAGGGCTGGTTGGCCGGTTATCAGACCGCATTCGATACACAACAGTCCAAGTTGACCACCAACAACTTTGCCCTCGGCTACTCCACCAAGGACTTTGTCCTCCACACAGCCGTGTAAGTAAACAATCAGCAATTTTATTTAATTCGTTTAGATTGTTTATATATTGCTATCAACATTTACTTTGTGTTACAGGAATGATGGCCAGGAGTTCAGCGGCTCAATCTTCCAACGCACTTCCGACAAACTGGATGTGGGCGTTCAGCTGTCGTGGGCCAGCGGCACCAGCAACACCAAGTTTGCCATTGGCGCCAAATATCAATTGGACGATGATGCCAGCGTGCGCGCCAAGGTTAACAATGCCAGCCAGGTTGGCTTGGGCTATCAACAGAAGTTGCGTGATGGCATCACCTTGACGCTCTCCACGCTTGTCGATGGCAAGAACTTCAATGCCGGTGGCCACAAGATTGGCGTTGGCCTCGAATTGGAAGCCTAAGTTAGTTCAAGATAAATAGCTGAATGCGCTGCCAGCAATATGCATACAGTACTAAAAACACCCAACAACAAACATTAACAACAAAATAACAGCAAGAACAACAACAAACAAAAGAGAAACAAATTAAAAGTGTAACAACAATAAAACACAAAAAAAATTAATACACATAACACAAGAATCTTCATGTTTAGCAAGCATTTGCCAACAAATCGGCCCGGGATCGGAGCTTGCTACCGATCGTTGGACGTAGTCTTGTTTAGTACATAGCTAAATACATATTTATTGTTGGCAAACAGTGAAATACATAATTTACCTATTAAAACAAAACGAAAAAAAAAAAAAAACAAAGTGTTAAACAAGCTCTGCATTATTTTTGCACATAAGTAAAGTGAGTAAAGATGACCAACAGATAGAAGGCAAACTTTTTTTTTTATTCAAATAAATACATTAACACTGTTGCGGTGTGCATTTAAATTCAAAACAGGAGAAAATTTATTTCGAACTGCGGTCGTGCTAGCCCATCGAAGCAACGTCTCGGATTTTCTCGCCTGGCTATCGATCTACGCGATCCAAACGATTTAGGAGGAGGCAGCGGTTAATTGGTTTCAACAGCTTTAACGGATTTCAAGTTAGATCTGATTATGGAATTAAGCTAGGCTTCCATAGAGTTTTCAAATTGAATCGAGATTTATTTAAGTGGATAAAGAGTGCTGCTGTCAGCATAGCATACGTTGCCTCACATTTCAATAGATTATTGGCTACGACAAGTTACAAACTGAGCTGAATTGTTTTCATATTCAAAAAAATTCTGGTGATACAACACAGCTGTTAATTTATAAAATTCCGAAACGATATAATTCGCTCCAGCTCTACAAATTATTTATTTGGCCGAAAATGGCGCCGCCACCTGTTTATACTGATTTAGGCAAATTAGCCCGCGACTTATTCAGGCGAGGCTACCATCCAGGTCTATGGCAGTTGGACTGCAAGACCATGACCAGCTCCGGCATCGAGTTTTTTACGACTGGCTTCGCCAGTCAAGATGCCAGCAAAGTGATGGGCTCCCTGCAGAGCAAATATAATATAGAGGATTATGGCTTAACGCTTACGGAACGCTGGAACACGGACAATCTGCTCTATGGCGAGATTGCGCAAAAGGATAAGTTAGTCGAGGGACTATTGCTGGCATTGGAGGGACGCTTTCAGCCCTCATCGGGGTAAGTATCTTTGCCATATACCCTCACTCTTACTGATTCTAGTAAATGTATTTGTTACACAGCGACAAGGAAGGCAAATTTATGGCTCGTTATGCCCAGGAGAGCTATAACATTTTGGGCAAAATAGATATTAAGTCTGATCCATTAGTGGGTCTGTCGTTAGTGCTAGGCCATAAAGAGTTTTTGGGCGGAGCTGCCGTTGACTGCGATATAAACGGCGGCAATGTATCCTGGAAGGTTGCGCTTGGCTGGACCAATGAATCGACAACGCTGCACGCAGAACTGTAAGTGTATATGAAACTATTCGATTATGCGTCTAATCTGTACACTTTGAAGAATAAATGCTGAGGGCTGGCTACTCTCACTATTCCACAAGGCTAACGAGCAAATAGATGCCGCTGTTGAGATTGGCAAAGCAGCTGCAGAAGCAGCAGCCGAGGAGGGCCAGGAACCGACAGAAAGTGAATTGAACATAGGTGTGGGAATGATCTATCATTTGGCAGGTGACGCCCTGATCCGTGCCAAAATAAACAACAACGCTGAACTGGGCCTGGGATACCAGCAGAAGCTACGCGAAGGCATCACCATGTCAATATCAACAGTTCTCGATTGTAAAAATATCACCGAAGGAAATCACAAGTTTGGCGTTGGCCTTTCCTTGGAGTGTTAACAGTTGTCCCTATCGCCACTATTTTATTTCTGTTACCAATTTACAGTTTTAAATTTATGTCCTGTTTTAGTATCTGCGGCAATTAAATCAAGACAAAGATACTTTAAAATTCTGCAAAACGAACGACTTCTGGAATCAGTCGGATTGCATTATTTTCAGGTTGATTGAACAATTATTCTATAAAAATTATTCTTTTAACAATCGATTTTCTAAGTTATATCAATACCGAAAACATTGCAAAATTCCGGTTTCCCTGGTAATTTCTGATGTTTTGGCCCGCTATTTTGCACTCCTAAACAATTTAAATCACCCGTTTAATAAAGAACCCGTTAATGAATGAAGCCAATCGGAGGCGGATGAAATCCGCATTAAATTATTTTTTCATAAAGATCTTTGAAAATGAATTTGAACGCCAGACTTCGCCCAGCAATACCCTGACCGCCATTTTCACCAATGAGGAATTGATTTTGCGAAAAGTGTAAAACATTCGTCAAATGAATCTAAGCAAAACCGATCGGACAGTTTTCTTACTCACTCAAATTTAAACGCACTGAGAATCGCGTAGTAGATCAATTATTATAAAATACATATAACAGGCATACATACGATTGTATTAGCTCTACCACTTTTTTTAAATATAAAAAGACAGTTATGTTTTTGATACGTACCACTTTCTTTCGAAGGCTTCGCCTTAGCCGCCGGTAATTGAGGACCCCGCCGTCTCCTCTAATTTAAAGCCACCTTCTCCTTTGCTCACATTCCTGTTTCCTCCAATATAAAGGCTGGCTCCTTCTCCATTACTTAAGCCACCTCCTCCTTAATTACTGGAACTATCGTCGTCTCCAGCATAGTTGAAGCCGCCTCCTTCTCTACTTGAAGCGAACCCTATGAGACTTACTTGAATGCATGAGAATCGCGTAGAAAGGAATGTGTGGTGCTCAGCTTGGGGTAAAGTTGGCCAGAATACATGCAACATATATAAGTTCTTATATGCATATGCACGCATATATGTACATACATGTATTAAAATATACACATACACATACACGCACACAAACATAAATACGTACAAACAAAGATATATATATATACACGAGGATACAAACATGTATAAACTCACATGCACACACATGCACACACATGCATGCATGCATATACACATACATAAGCATTTATAGATATAAATATACATAAGTCCACACATGCATACAAATATATAAATACACATCTAAACACTTAGTAACACACAAGCATAGTAATATACATTCATACATACATAAACATTTATAAGTACATAAATATATACATGTTTGTTTTGTACATATGCAAACATGCATGCGAACATGTATTCATACATGCTCGGATGCCTACATTTATGCATACATATACATAATATACATACATACATACACAAGTACGTACACGAACATACATACATACACATATACACACACATCCATACATATACATATATATATATATATATATAAACATGCACGAAGGTTCAGAAGATTGGAGATAGTTGTTGCAATATGCACATTCATGAGGATATCGCATTCGGCAAACCTTCTGAATTACCATAAATTGTTGAAAAATTAATTGAGCAAAGTTTTTGTAAGCCAGCAAATGGCAGGTGAGATGTGAGATGAAGAATTGCAAGAAAGTTTTCAAAACAATTTTGAGTTTAGCATGCATGTAAGATGATCGAACAGCGGCATGAAGCTAGTTAAGGTATAATCATTTTCCTAAATTAAAATCAACATTAACATTTCGAAAATCTAGATCTAACATTTGTAAAAATTACAACATTTTTATTACGATCAGCTGCCGCGAACATCTTTTCTGAGTTTTTTTTTTATCTTCGGTGTGGTCTTCTATACGTTTTTGTTTCAGACAGTCTGGGTTCGCTTTACTGCCAGCAAACCATGAATCAACTTTCAAATAGATTTTTTACCTAAATGAAGAAAAACTAAAAAAAAAAAATTTAACAAGCAAAATTTTAATTCAATCTTTGGACGTTTTATTTAAATTAACGGCTTAGTTTTAATCACAATGTCTGTATATAAAAGATTCACCCTCAAGAAAAAGAAGAGGGAAGGCAGCAATGCTGAAGACGATGAACCTCGTAGCTCCTCAGGTGATGGCGAGGTAATACCAAAGCAGCCGCTCGAGGGCGAAATGCCAACATTCTTTCATGTCGGCAAATGGGCCAAACAGTGCCTAACAACCGGCTATGATTTTGGTGCCTGGCATATCGATTGCACCACTAATATAAGCGACAAGCTTGGCCTATATAGCTTTGGGTCCGCCAGGCCGGACGTCAGGAGTGTTGCCGGTGGCGTCGGCATTCGAGAGAAACTTGGCATATTCAATCTGTATCAGACATGGCAGACTCATGGCCTATTGAGCACACTTGGTTTACGAACCGAAGCAGCTGGTGGCTTGGCGAATGCCATGCTGCGAGCCACATATATTCCGCAGAACAAGTGAGTAGTTTCCAGATCGCGACCAAGATCCATATCGATCTGGCAAGCATACTTGTTTTATTCCCATCTAGTGATGGTGTCAACGTTGAACTTTATACCGGCTACGAGCGTTCGCCGGTCAAGTTAGATGTGATCATACCAGTTTGGAACGTGCCCAAATTCATGGGCTATGTGCTGCTCCACCTGGCCGATAAGTACATGTTCGCCTATCGTAGTGTCTACAACATTAACGACATGGAGTTCGAGAAGCATGTGCTATGTGTGGGCTATCAGAATGAGAACACCGAATATGGCCTCAAACTGTAAGATTTGTTTTCCCAAATTGATTAGTTGTCCAAGTTGTCAAGCTGTCTCCATATAGGGAGAACTTCAAGGAACTGCGTGGATCCTTATTTCAGCGCGTGGGCGAGCGCTGGGCATTTGCCCTAAAGGCGCATCTTTATCGAGAGCAGGGAAGACATTTTTCGGTTGGCGGTCAGTACAAGATCCATGATGATGGACTGCTCAAGATGCGGGTGCGCGAAAATGGCTTCTTGGGTTTGGTCTACCAGGCGATACTTAGCGAAAATATTGACATTATGTACCACGTTGGCATAAATGCCACTTCACCACTCGATGGCCACCATAAATTTGGTGTTGCCTGGAGTCTGAAGTGTTAATTAGATAACTTTTTATCGATTTATATGCTCGAAATTTTGTACTCTGAATAAAAATGCTTTGTAATCAAGACTCAATTGTATTTGTTACTTTAAAGAAATTAAAATTTACACTCAATTATATATTGATCCGAACCCCTTACCCTAGTCTAGTCTGGACTAAAAGTCTTTTATATCATATTTAACTTTTGAACATTTCGAAAGATCGTTCTGTACACATAAAGATCGGCCAAGTCCAAGGAAGATATGGTTGCCACGGATTCGATTTTGAGCCGAGCAATGCTGGGTAATTTATTCTGGTACACTAATATTAATTAAATAATGTTAAATTCTGTATTATGTCTTGTTGGGTTAATTGTTAAATGAATTCTTTTCAGCTTTCTACTGCACTGGAAGCTCTGCTCTATTTTGATAATTCTCTGTCCGGAACCTCTAAAATATTTCTACCTATTTTACAAATTTTCTACCTATTTTATAAAGCGAATAGCAAAATGAATATACTGTTTATCTGTTCATGCTCTGGATTGGACTACACAAATCTCTTGTGACTTCTAAATTGTTTTATAATTTTCTATTTTTGTCTGTGATAATGGGGCTTAGTTCAGCCACGTTGGTTATTGGTCCTCCATATTTGTTCTAATCAAATAAAAAAAGATTTCTGATTGCTGAACAAATGCTGAACGAACATTTTTATACTACAATCGGGTCTATGAAAATTCTCGCACCTTGATTAATGTTATTTTCGGTGTAGACCAACAAGAATGTCTTAATTTTGATGGTCTTGGCTTGGGCTTTGCTTTCAAGTAAACTTTGTACCAAATTTCAGTTCGATTGTAATGTCAAATCTAAATATACTTTCTTAATTGCAATTTTTTGATCCTCCAGATATTTTGTACATAAATTAACGGTTCATTTGCCAAAATGGGAGATTCTGAAAAGAAAAATGAAGATTCGGCCGAAGAAAAACCTCCAAATCCGGAGGAGACAATTCCACCGCAACCGTCGGAGAACGAAATGCCCACATTTTTCCACATCGGCGGATTGGCCAAACAATGCCTGGTAGCTGGCTACGAATTTGGCGCTTGGCACATCGATTGCTCCACGAATATTGGAGACAACATTGGCCTTTATAGCTATGGGGCGGGCAGACCCGAATTTAACGATGTTTCCGGCGGTGTGGGCATTCGCGAAAAGGTGGGTATTTTCAATATGTCACAGGGTTGGCAATCTGACGGCATTATGGGTACGCTTGGGCTACGCGCTCCATTGGTTGAGGGCGTGGCGAATGCCATGCTACGTGGCATATACGATATACAGGGCGGGTAAGTAATATGTATGGCATGGAGTATAGAATAGGAGACGCACTTTCATAACTGTCCTATTCCCATCTAGTGACGGTGGAAAGCTTGAACTCTATTCCGGCTACGAGCATACGCCCATCAAGTTTGATATGATCATACCGCTGTTGAATGTGCCAAGATTCATGGGCTATGTGCTGCTCCAGCTGGCCGAAAACTATCTGTTTGCCTTCCGGATGGTCTATAACATTAACGACTCGGCATTTGAGAAGCACGCATTGTGCGCGGGCTTTAATAATAACAACACCGAATTGAGCCTCAAGCTGTAAGATTTGTTTTTAAAAATCTCTTCCAATAGTCGCTTTAATTGTTGTGCGCATGCAGCGAGGACTTTAAGGATTGGCGCGGCTCCATATTTCAGCGCTTAGGTGAGCGCTGGGCCATTGCCCTGAAGGCGGATATTTATAAGGACGACGATATGCAAGTTGCCATTGGAGGCCAGTATGCGGTCCATGAAAATGCACTGCTCAAGATGAAGGTGCGCTCCGACGGCTTCCTGGGCCTGGCCTACCAAGTACATCTTAGCGAAAATATTGCGATCCTCTACCATGCGGGCTTGAACGTTTCAGATCCTATCAAGGGCGGACACAGAATTGGTCTTTCCTGGCGTCTTAGGTGTTAGTGTTTCAACTAGCAACTCAATTATAAAATTCAAATAAATTTGTGCTGTAAATGAAGAACGGGTTCTGGCCAGAATTATCTTGCCCAGCAACTAGTCTGGACATTATCTGGGCATCATTTATACCCAACATCTTCCTTCTCAATTGCACAATAGAAAAGATTTCTGTTAAAATGTAAAAAATAAAGTATTCCCATAATTGTGTTTTGCAAATGTGAAATCAAACTCTTCTGACCCCTGACGGAGCATCGGACTGGTAAGAGAGCAGTAATTGGTTCAAATTCAGCAGAAATTTTAATTTATTTTGAACATGACATTTTTCATGCTGACAATTGGTAGATGGAAATATGAATCATTAGAGAGAAGAGAAACTTTGTATATTTTAGAAGTTTACGCGAGTTTCCCAATCAATTTCAATTTCCTTCGTATTTATACAGCATTACATATAACACGAAGTCTTTTAACGAAGTCGAATTATATCTATTATTAATTTTGGATAGGGATTACCAATAATTGCCCAAATGTCTTGGGCTTATGAGTTTGGGCCTTGGCCTGGCGCCTGTCTCTGGTTTGGTATACCTTCACTTGCTTTAATTTGAATTAGTATTCAGTTTTTCATCAAGTTCTGAAACCTAACCCACTCAGAATTTTGACATTTCTATGACAAGCACCTGTCAGCTTGATCTTTATTTTAGTTTGACATTTTTCGACAAAAAAAAAGTGATGTCGCTTTGCTTTTAGGCAAGCAATGCTCAGTATTTCAAAGGACTTGTAGTGATAAATTCAGAACGTAGACAGAAATTTTAGTATTCTTTTGGTTTTTAAGATATTTTATATAAATTAACAGTTAATAAGTTTATACAAAATGTCCATATGGAAAAAAAAATGTTTCAAGAAAAAGAAGAAGGAGGAACCAGTGGTCGAAGAAGAAACAGATGAGTCTAAAAATAAGACGTCCTCAAAAACTGAAGACGACAGTAAAGTTTCGGATGAGGTAATACCTCCACCCCCGTTAGAGGGGGAAATGGCAACATATTTTCACATCGGTGGATGGGCCAAGGAATGTTTGATAACCGGCTATAAAATTGGTGCCTGGCATTTTGACTGTACCACTCAACTAACCGACAAACTTGGCATATATAGTTTTGGCAACGGCAAGCCCAACTATTACGGTGTCTCCGGCGGAGTTGGTCTTCGCGAGAAGTTAGGCATCTTCCATATGTGTCAGGCTTACCATACCAATGCCTACGTCGGTGCGTTTGGAGTGCGTTCCACAGTCGTCGGCTGTTTAGCCAATGCCATGCTGCGCGGAACATACGGTCCCCACGACGAGTAAGTTGGAGGCAGACCATATAAGTACGTGCCAGCCGCGCTGGTCTGGCTTTTGGAGAGCGAGCCCAGCCAGTCGGCTGGCATATGTCGTGTGAAGCAGGAAAAGCCAGATGAAAAGCCAGAGAGACATTTTGCCTCGCATTGAAATGTTAGTGCTTATATTGTTTTAGGAGGAGGCATGCAGGAGTTATTTATAGTCCAGATTATGCCATGTCAGCATCGGCAAGCCACGTTCGTCTGGCTTTTGGAGAGCGAAAGGCTAGTCGGCTGGCATATGTATGTCGTGTGTAGTGGGAAAAGCCAGATGAAAAGCCAGACTAGAAATTTTGCGTCGCATTGGAATGTTAGTGTTTGTGAAATATTTTTATTCCAGATCAGGCCATGTCTGTCCGCTTAAATGAGCTCCTACTGGAACTAGATATTTCACATTTGGAAGTAAAAAGGTTTCTCACTTTAAGAACAATAAGAATTAATATGCAAGCCTCTACTTTAGAACATCTCGGATATACTCCTCAGTTACGATTACAATTTATTTTTTTTTTCGGCCAAAGTAGATATTTCCAAAGGATTGTTACTCTTACTCCTTATGCCTTTGTAACATTCTCATTTGTTTTAATCTCCGCTAGACCTGAAGTAACGCTTGATCTACATACGGGTTTAGAGCGATCACCCATCAAAATGGATGTGATCGTACCAATTTTGAAGTCACCGAAACTAATGGGCTATGTGGTTCTACAACCGCTGCAGAACTATTTATTGGGCTATCGAGCGGTCTACGACTTTGACAATATGGGCTTTGACATGCACGCGTTATGCGTGGGCTTTAATAACGGTAGCTCCGAATTGAGCCTAAAATTGTAAGAATTCTTTTGAAAATTAAATTTAATCAATTGATCACTTTAAATGCTGTGCACACGCAGAGAGAACTTCAAGGAGCTTCGAGGCTCGATATTCCAGCGCATTGGCGAACGCTGGGCCGTTGCCTTAAAGGCGAATATTTACGGTGAAAATGAAAAGCAATTTGCCATTGGAGGCCAGTACAAAATCCAAGACAATGCACTGTTAAAGGCCAAGGTGCGCGACGATGGCTTTGTGGGAATGGTCTACCAGGTTAATGTCAGCGAGAATATAGGTATTATGTATCACGTTGGTTTAGAAGTCGGCTCGCCTATCAATGGCGACCATAAAGTTGGTATATCATGGAGTATAAAGGGTTGAAACCCTTTTGTGTACTATGTAGCAGAAGGTTGTTGCAGTTGAGTATGTAGCAGAACGTTTGGTCAGAGCCTCCACCAGATTAATGAGGCCTCGACTGTGCCGATGCTGAAACTATTTTAAAGAAAATTAAATTGTTCATTAAAATCGTTTTGGCAAGCAAAACAACGCTGTTTCACTTTAATCTGCCCTGACTGATAGACTGACCGCCTGATTGCGATTGGTTGAGACCCAAGCTGTAAGAGCTGGGGAGCTGAAATTTTCATTGAAGGTGCACGCTAATGCGCGGTTTCGGGCAATTCCACTCGCATGTGTGGAAAAATCGTGAAAAACTAGCTTGGTCAAATCTCTTCCGATTCTCACGAGGCATGGGTCTTTGTTCATGGCTAGGTCTCTGGATCTTGCTCAAGATAACCTGATCAACCTGATGAGCCATATAAACTGGTTCCACCATCAATAGACAGAAGCTCCCAGGCCGTGTCCTAGCTGGCACATGCCTGGCCAACGTTTTCTTGAATAACTACTGATGTTGAAGAAATTTTCGTCTAGTAGATGTTATTGTGCAATAGAACTTTCGAATGTTCTAAAAGACTTCTTTAAATTGTTGAATAAAATGGCTCCAATTAGAATTTGTTTTTCATTTTATTTCGCGATTTTGCCGCACAAGAAGCCATATCTGAACGTGAAGTTTGGTTCAGGGTATCCTTTAGTCGGGAACTCCCGACTGGAGCCTATTGTTTTCGTTTTGCTTTCTAGCAAACCATGAACAATATTTCAAAAAAAAAAAAAATTAGTTTTGATAAATAAAAACAAAAATTTTAAATTCTTTTTTTTGGCTCTTTAGATATTTTTTAAGTAAATTAACGGTTTCTATTTTAACGTAATGCCATCATTAACGAAAAGGCTTAGCTTTAAAAAAAAGAGAAATGGTCCTGAAGCAACAAACGAGGAAGGTGATGAAGGTGGCTACACCAATAATTCAACTGATGAGGAGATAATACCTGGCCCTCCGGCGGAGGGCGATATGCCGACGTTTTTTCACATCGGCTTATTGGCCAAGCAATGCCTGATATCCGGCTATAAAATTGGCACTTGGCATATCGATTGCACTACAAATGTTAAGGATAAAGTTACCTTATTTAGTTATGGATCTGGTAAACCTAATTTTAACAATGTCTGGGGCGGCGTGGGCATGCGCCAGAAATGGGGTATCTGGGACCTGTTTCAGGTTTGGCAGACCGATAACATAATGGGTGCAGTTGGTGGACGATCCAAATTAGTTGGCGGTACGGCAAATGCTATGTTGTGGGCCATATACAATCCACGCGACGGGTAAGTAGAAAACAATACAAAATTCCAGACCAGAAGACTGTCTCTGTTGATCTAGCCATGTCCTTGAGGCTGAGTTTATAGGAGGGATTAAGTGCAGTTTTTCGTATATAAAAAGTTCTTGAATAACAATAAATATATATATTCATATATAAATAAGTGTAAGGATAATTAGAGATCTTACTGATTTTTAAGTGAACAGAGTCAGTTGCACCCGATTGCGAGGCCCTAACATGTTTCTTTTTTTCTTATCTAGTTCTGGTGTCAAGCTTCAAGTGTATTCCGGCTACGAGCGATCGCCCATCAAGTTTGATTTGATTATACCCGTTTTGAATGTTCCAAGATTTATGGGCTATGCACTTTTACATTTCGCCAAGAATTGGCTGTTGGCATTTCGAATGGATTATAACATTGCCGAGAGGGCGTTTCAGAAGCATGCAATATGTGGGGGCTATTATAATGGAAGCACCGAGCTGGGCCTTAAGTTGTAAGATTCGTTTTGCGAAGTATTTTCCGATAGTAACCTTAATGTTGTGCGTATGCAGCGAGGACTTCAAGGATTGGCGTGCCTCCATATTTCAGCGCTTAAGTAAGCGCTGGGCTATCGCCTTCAAGGCGGACCTTTACACTGAGGAGCCAAAACAATATGCTGTTGGCGGCCAGTACCAAATCAATGATAACTCGCTGCTTAAGGCCACGGTGCGCGACAATGGTTTTCTGGGTCTAGTCTACCAGTTAAACCTAACAGAAAACATTGGAATTACGTACCACGTGGGCTTAGAGCTTAAAGATCCTATTAAAGGAGAGCATAGAGTTGGTATATCATGTAGTCTAAGGGCTTAATTTAAAACATTTTTATTAATTTATTACAAGAGACAAAATCCATATGTAATCTAAATGAAGTGTTGAGGGGCTGGCTAATTCTTAGCCAAATTTTCCTTGCCCCGTTCGTTGTTCCTTTGTTGAAGCTGAGCAGCACGTTTGGCCATGCCATCCTTCACCCACGGATGAGTCATAACCTCCACCAGGCTGATGCGACCCTGACTCTGTCGACGCAAAAGCTTTTATGGGAGTAACAGAATTGTATATTAAAGTCTTTGGCAAAAAGAACAGATCTATATATTTTTCATATTTTTGAATAAAAGAAATTTTTTCGGAATATCGAAGCTAAGCAGACATAAATCGGCGGGACCTTTAGTCTGATATTAATAAAGCATTTGTCAATTTACGATCGAACAAACTGATCGAAAAGTCTATCTGTTTCGGAAGCAGACAAACATATAACATATAAACGGATCTTACACAAAGGACATGGTAAAATTGGACTGTTTTAAAGATATTTTGAATAATCAACTTACTCCTGAAATTACTTCCTTTGCGCCGGATGACATATGCGATGGATAATGAATATCCAAGCGCTTGATTTTCTCATACGTATTATCAGAGCTGTTGGACTCAAAGGGCGGATTGCCTACCAGAAATTCATAGCATAAAATGCCCAAGCACCACTGATCAACGCTGTCATCATAGGAGCGACCGTCGACCATTTCGGGCGGCAGATAGTCCAAGGTGCCGCACAGGGTTTTGCGCTTGTTGTTGGGCGTATGCGCAGACCAGCCAAAGTCTGCCAACTTCAGATCATCTGTGCCCGTCAGCAGGATATTTTCTGGCTTAAGATCGCGATGTATGACATTGTTGAGATGGCAATAGTTAAGCGCATTGGCCACCTGGTAGGTGTATTTCGCTGACCGTGGCTCGTCGAACCGATGTTTGGGCGCATTACGCAAGTGCTTGAATAGTTCGCCCTCGGACGCTATTTCCAGTGCCAAATAAATGCGGGAATCATCGTAGAACCAAGTTAGCAGTCGCAGTATATTTGGATGCTTGAGACGCGATTGTATTTCGATTTCACGCAGCACCTGCCGCTGCACGTTACCCTTGCGCAGCTCCTCCTTAAACATCACCTTCATGGCAACCATGTAATGGGAGTGACGCTCGCGTGCCAAGTAGACGCGTCCGAACTTGCCGCGTCCCAAGGGCGCGCCCAACTCGAAATCTCTAGTGCTCCACTGATAGCTGCGATGAGACATCGAATATACATATAAACACCTTCATTTTTGCTACAAAAGAACTTACGGTTTCCCATAGGCATCATGCGACATCATTTTGAGGCACATTTGTTTGATTGGGTCTTGATGTTCCTCTGGCACATTGCTCATCAAGTGCGGTAAATGGTCCCGTGTTGCGTGCTTTGTGCGAACAAACGCCATTGTAGTATTCTGGTTTCACTAATATTCTAAAAGCAGTGCGATTGTTATATTTTTTTGCGAATTTTAATGTAGCGTCACAGCTATTTGCGCGTTTTTTCGAATGTCAACTTATTTGTTTCGATACTACTCGTTGCATTTAAAGTTGTACTCGATACTTTGCTAAAGGAAATTCTGAATTATATATATATATTTTAAATATATTTTGTAGACAATTTAGAATAATGCGTTAATACAAAATGGCTTAATGTAAAGAGGTTTGCCATTTATTAAATATAATTGCGCCATATCGAAGAATTTTCTTATCGATGTTTTAAAAGATATTATCAATTCGATAGTTTTGTATGTCAACTCTGTAGCTGTGATATCGACATTCAGATGTAATCGAAGTTTTATGTCGAACACCTCTGTCTCTGTCACAAAAAAATGAGCACACATTGTGTAAACGTGATTAAGAAAATCTAAGTTTTGTGTGTGCAACAGCAAAAAGCAATATTTTCTCCTACGTGTAGCAAGCAAAACAGTTTGCGCGTTAGCTTGTGCAAGTGTATCAACTAGTTCAACTACCTCTTGCGGTAATTGTGAAACTGCAATTATATAGGCCACGGAAAGATTCTTGGGTAAGCAAAAAAAACAAAATGGCGTAAACGTATACGCGCACACATGCCAGCACAGTCTCATACACACGCACGAATGTTGCACATTGTCCCATATATGGCATTTTCACATTATCTTGCTTTTCTTTTTTTGCAACGCAAAAAGGTGCGGCACGCAATTTGATGTAAAGGTAAGTTCCAAAAGGTAAAGGTGCTCACACATAACACGTAAATACCATACGAAACGGTACAACAAAAATGTCTGATGCGATGAGCGCACCGCCGCCATTAATACCCCAGCTGCAAGAGATGCAGCAGCAACAACAACAACAGCATCACCACCAACAACAACAACAACAGCAACAACAGCAGGCCGCAAACTCTGCTACTGCGCAGCAATGGAGTAACTACGCTTGGTGGCATCATCATGGCACCAACGCAGCCGCCTATCAACAGCAATATCAACAATATTATCAATATTATATGCGCTACCAACAGCAGCAGCAGCAACAACAACAACAGCAGGTAACATCGACCATCAGCTCGTCAAATGCGCCGCCTGGTTTTAGCAATGCGCTGGTGGCACCGCCGCTACCTACGGCTCCGCCGCCGCCGCCACCACCACCTGCACAGTCGGGTAATAAAAATCAACAACAACAACTGCAGCAGCAGCAGCAGCAGCAGCAGAAAAATTTTGGTGGCATACGTTTTAATTTAAATTTGAATCAGAAACGTTTGGCAAATGCGCCAAATCCGCTGCAGCAGCAACAACAACAACAACACCAGCAGCAGCAACAACAACAGCATGCTATGCAGCAGCTAAATCTCTATAATAACATGATCAACAACAACAACAACAACAATTCTAACAAAAAGAAGCGCAAGCGTAATAACAAAAACAATAATAATAATAACAACAACAACAACATAAACAAACAACAACAGCAGCAAATGACTGCTGCCTATGAATCATCGCCTGCTGGATTTTCTGGCATTTCTCTAAATCCATTTTCTACGCCAGCAGTGCCGTCCACACCGGATTTAAGCAAGCCACCACCCCCCTTACCCTTAATACAAACACCAGCACTAGCAGCTGCCGTTGTTGCCCCACAGCAACAACAACAACAGCAGCAGCAGCCGCCTCCGCCGCAGCCGCCGCTAGCTGTTTTGGAGCCGCAGCAGCCAAAGCAGTCGCAGCCCCAGCCGCAACCAGCAGCGGCAGCAGCAAGTGCTGCATTTAAGCGTCCCAATAGCTGCTTCCAAATGGGCTCGAATGATTCGTGGCCAGATTCTCTAAATCAGTATGTGGCACGTTGCTATTCCAAGTGTACAACCGACTTGGATAAGGATCAAATCGATATCTGTCTAAAGGGTAAAATTATTGCTGCCGCCAATCGCAACGAACTCTGGACGCGCGATTGGGATAATGAGCCCATGCCGACCGTGCACAGCGAACGCGATGCTATAGACGTGGTGCTCAGTAATGTAACGCCTCCACAGCCACAACGTAGCAACTACTTTAACAAAAAACAGCAGCAACAACAGCAGGAGGAGGAGCAGCAGCAGCAACAGCAGCAACCACAGCAACTGCAACAGACAACCCCAAAGCCTAGTCAAAAGACACCAAATGTAAATCAATTTAAACATAAGGGCAATGCTTTTAACAAGTTTGCCAATGGCGGTTACGGACAGCAGCAGCAGCAGCAGTCTTCCCGCTACTCTAGGAGTCGTTCACGGTAAGTTTAAATATATATACGACCTTATATTATCAATGGTAGATAGGTATTTAGAACACATCAGGATCAGGTGTAGTTCTTACTTATTGAGCAATTAAATCGTTAAAACTTTTACATATACGAAGCATAAAGTTTCAGCTTGTAAGATTTACCTATAGAGATCTATTTACCTTCGAAATGGTTTAATTTGTTGGAATGTATTTAGCTGGAATGTATTTTGTTGTAGCTGCAGCTAGCCTTTTATTTAAATAATAGCTAATTTTATAAAAAAAAACAATTTTTAACTCGTCTTCTTTCACATTTGCATTTTGCAGTTCGCCCACGTCGTCCACGTCCTCGGCTTCAAAATATAACAATCGGAAACGTTATTCTCGTTCGCCACGTTCGCGTTCTCGTTCCCATTCGCGGTCGCGCAGCAGCAGCGCCAGCAGTCCACCAGCTCGTAAGGTGCTCCGCAAGACTGGCTTGAATGATACGCTGGGTAGCGATTTTATACCAATCAATTCGAATATGTCGAGGAAACAGCAGAAAATGCTGATGAAGAGGAATAAGCGTGCAGCCGCTGCCGCTGCCGCCGTCGGTGGCAAAAAGAAGACGCCGCATTTTTATGCCACGCATTCGTCGTCGGTGGGCGGTGCCGTTGATGATGACACAGCGCGCTTGCAACAGCGTGCGGCACGTTTCTCACAGTCGAGCAGCGGCTCGTCTAAGAAATCTGTCGTCGCAATTGCAAGCTCACCGTTTGGTCTCACCACGGCCAAGCACAAGAAGAGATTGCAGGCCGCGGCGGCGGCTTCCCGTTCAGCGTCATCGGCCATGTTCTACGAGGATGATGCGGGCGCGGGTGCGGCGGGCTTAGATTTACTCAATTTGCATATTGTAGGCTCATGTAGGGATTTAGAAAAGTCATTCTTGCGCCTTACCAAAGCGCCATCACCGTCCGAAGTGCGTCCCGTTGAGGTGCTAACTCATTCGCTGGCCAATGTGAAGGGCAAATGGCGTGCCAATCAGGATTATCATTATGCGTGTGATCAGTTGAAGTCCATACGCCAGGATTTGACTGTAAGTCCCACATCTAAACCCCTTTATCAGTTAAAAATTGGTCTTAACTGGTTTTTCTTTCCTTTTTCTAGGTCCAAGGTATACGCGATAAGTTCACAGTTGAGGTATATGAGACGCATGCGCGCATCGCCATGGAAAAGGGCGATCATGAAGAGTTCAATCAGTGCCAGACACAGCTTAAGATGCTTTACTTAGAATTGGGCAACAGCAGCAATTCGCTCGAATTTACAGCCTATCGCATTATCTATTACATATTTACTAAAAATACCTTGGGTAAGTTTTTATATATTTCATTATTATTATTATTAAGATTATTTATGATACATTCATATTATAAATAATACCATAATTAATAATCACAAAACAGCGCTAGTGTCAGGCCTTTAGCTATCTTTTAAAATAATTTATTTTCAATTTGACTGGTTAGGTTGAATTCTTTTATAAAGTTGTAAATCTTCTCTATGTTAGAGGGCGAGACTAATAATAGGTCGGTCGCTGGTAATGTGTTAGCGAAGTGGGTTCTCCTACCAGCCTTCGGCAGGTATTAAGAATATGCGTGGTCGATAGCTTACGACCACAGCGGATAATTAGGTTTGCGGATCATTCCGATCCGGAGGCGAGCTAAGATTGTACATTTCAATTGAGGAAGGTACCCAAGGTACCCAAACAATGTGAAGTTTTGCTCGTTTTTTATACCCTTGCAGAGGGTATTATTTTTTAAAAAGTGTGTCCCGAATCTTGACAATTTTTGGGTTGGAGTTGGAAATGTTGTCGATGCAGGTAATACATTTTCTCGGTTTTCCTTAAGCGTAGTTTATAGCTTTTAGAATGGCTAATGCCTCCGTCGAGAATATCTAGCAATATTCTAGAAGGCATCCAGCTGTAAAAGTTTTGCCATTTAATATATTTTATATATTGAATAGGGGCTTAAAAATAGAGAAAGAAAATTTCTTTGTAAGAGATATTCATTTAGTTGGAATATTTCAAAAATGTATTTGTGAGAATTTTGATATGAGTTAATTTAATTTTTATATGATTCATTGTTTGACTTGCATAAAGGATTAATTAGTTTGTGTTGCTATAAAAGAAAATCTGTGCAGCGAAATAATATCCATAAGCTTTATAGTGATAATCATAAAGCTATTTTCATAAGGCATTTATATTTCGTCAAAAACTTGAATCAGTTCTCAAGTATGAGTAAGACTCAAGTTGTTCTTTTTGCTGTTATGACTGATCTGTATGGCTTGCAAATCAAAAAGCATCTTATATATGTGAAGCTTATTTAAATTTGTTTTTTACTCACAACTAATGCTTTCTCTGTATACTCTACGCTCAATTGCAATTTTATAGACATCACAACTGTTTTGCGTTCGATAACAGCTGATCAGCGCGAGAATCCTGCCATTGCGCACGCTCTAGAGTTTCGTTCCGCTTGGTCGCTGGGCAACTATTGCAAACTATTCGATCTGTATAAAAGGGCGCCGCTCATGTCGGGCCATATGATTGAATGGTTTTTGGAGCGCGAGCGCAAGGCGGCACTGCGCATAATTATTAAATCGTAAGTGACTGTTAACTAAATGTTTGAGCTATTTGTGCTTAAATTATGTTTCCGTTTTGCTTGCAGTTATCGTCCCAACATTAGCGTCGAATATGTGTCAAATGTTTTGGCCTTTGATAGCACTGAAAAGTGCAAAGAATGGCTAGACACATTCAGTTTGCCCTATGCCGCAGATGGCGTTCAAATTGATTGCAAAAATGCAGCTGCCATTGCCATTTGAAGCCACTCAAAAAGTGTGTTGGGCGTTTTTAAACTAATCTACAAACAGGTGTGGAGCGTGACAGCTTGGGCTGGCAGCGAGCGCACCATCAAAGACAATACACAACAAAAGATCCATACTCGATATCCGTTTGAAAAACTACTCAGCTGTTCATTAGCAGTACGAGCATTTTTCACGGAATCGACGCGGCTGCCTCCCTGTCTCTCTCTCTCCCTACCTCCCTCTCTATATCTCTTTTAGCCTGGCCCCTTTTGTACCCTTGTACATAGGCGATCTATTAGTGCGCGTGACCTTGCGTTAATGTTAGGATTTTTTTTTTTATATGTATGCATCATTTTAGAATGAAAGTGTGTCTCAGTTCGGTTTTCCCTCCTTAATCCAACACAAATGTGTCTGCAAACTCTTACACCACCGCGCCCAATATATCGTCGGTTCACATTCTCATGGATTTGCAATTACTGTCTCATCTGCACTTAAACGTTTCATCAAAATTCCACGTCCAGCCTCAACAGTCTGCTTTCGCTGAACATCGTCGAGTACCCCTCGCATGGATTATCTAATGATCTTCATTTGGATAGCAGCCTGGAACTTCGCATTGGTTTTATAGTGATGTAGGTGAATGCTACACGACTGATGCTGGAAATGCTCAAAGTCAATACGGACTCGGCACTCAAAGTAGTACACGGCAACCGGATCGTTGCTCCTGGAATCAGTAGAACGGATTCTCGGGATATGTCCTGAATACATAGAAAGGATCAACAAATGGATCAATGCAATGAACGCTGCACACTGATATCTAGAAAGATATATTATGTATTAATCAGGAAGGCTGCGATCAACCGTCCAGTTGAGGGCGTTGTTGAGCTTCAAACAAATCTTTAAACGACGCCCGCTGTGCCGATTCGTCTTCATCCGTTTGAAATAACAATTTAGCAATGCGGCATACGTTTGGCTCTCGTAACTGAAGGCCAGCGTAACGACGGAACATCTTTTCAGGTTTTAGGAGTGGTTACTACCAAAGCAAAAACAAAAAGTTAAAGTGAAATCCATCAAAATAATCAATCTCCAAGTTGAACGAAACTTTTAAATGGGTTTCTTAAATTAAAAGAAACAATGACAATTTCAAGTGCAAGTGATAAAAAATGTGAATCCCTTACCCATCTAAAAACTGAACAGAACAAAGCAAAAGTGAAAGCCTATTAACCATAATATTAACAAAGAAAACAAAAAAAAACAAACAACACCTGCAACAAATAACAATTAACACATCAAACAAAAATCTAGGCTCAAAACAGAGTCTAAACAATTACGGCTGGCCACAATGCCGATATTTGTTTTTGATTGTTTTTTTTTATATACCACCTTTTATCATATTTAAAAGAATTATTTTTAAGCCTTAGCTTTAACGTTTATTTGTTTAAATTATTGAAAAAAGGTTTCCACTAATGTCTTGTCTCTCTATTGTATACCTGTATATATACAACATCACGAACACCATCATCCAACCAACATCATCAACAACAACAACAACAACAAGAACAATTATCGCAACAGCATGGAGACAAGCGCCGAAAAAACAACATCCCAACTAGCCGGCTATCATACGGCGGACTCCACAATCTATCGTCACATCGACGTCAGCAATAATCGCAACTGCTCGGGACTTGTAAGCTCTTCCAATTTTAAACTGTCAAACAAAAGCAAAAAAAAAAAAGTTAAATATAATATGTATGTTAAGTGAGATTATTGAAGATTCCAAATGGATATCGCAAATTTATGAATAGCAATAACAATTGGCTATATTAGTTAATTTGTGTTCAGTGGGGGGCCATCTAGGGTATATATATATATATTATATATATTTATTCACATAGATTAGGTTAGTTTTAAGCACAACTTTTTTGTTGTTCATTTATGCTAAGGTTAATTGTTGTAGTTTTTTTTTTAATTTTGATGAATGTTGAAAAAATCAAATCGAAATCAATTGAGAATTTCAACGCATTTTTCAGCTGCTAATCACAAAAAATGCGTCCGTTGCATGCAAAAAGTGAAATAAAAACGCGCTTTTAAAATCTATTAAAAAAAAATTAAACTGGTTTGATTTTCATTTTGAAGCGGGCCTCCCCAGCCCTGCTCTCTGCCAGACACCTGTTGCATTGGCATCGCCAGCGGGACTGGTAACACCTGTTGCACATTCCAGTCTAGAGCTTTAGCCAAGTCGCAAACCATTGTTGATTTTCCCGATTCGTGCGTGTGTGTTGTCGGGTTGGTGAAAAGCAAAGCTTTCAACAATGGTGAACGGATGCTGTGTGGTTGTTGACTTTGAAGACGACCGTGTGCCAGTCCTGGGGGAGCGACTACTATTTAAGGATGCTGCGTTGCTGCCTTAGCTTCAGTTAACGCGCGGCGCTTGAGTTCGTTGGATCGAGCTAAAAGTCTAAAGATACAAATTCCAGCTTAAATTCAATTTGGACCAACATGATAAGCCAAAGAAAATAGATTCTAACAAAAACTTTGTAAGTGCAGTGCAGATACAAATTGAAAAACAAAACAAATATGAAATAACCAACAACAAAAATTTAAAAAAATAACCTTTACAAATAAAAATGCACTTGTAAATAAAAATTATAATTGAAGCATAGTCTTGGTCTACAATTGTGCCATAGGAAACGTAAAAGGTGATTTGTTAAATACTTTTTGCTTAAAAGGTAATTGAAAAACGAATGCGGAAAATATGCATTAATTTCATAAACCATTGAAATATTACAATTTTTAAATTTAATTTACCATAAAACACAATTAAATATTATTTTTGACGTTTTTTTTTATGCAATTAGCTGATTAAACTCAAGAATTGCCGTTTTGAAGAAAGATATAGCAGTAGGATAAGTGAGAGTAAGATAAAATTGAATTAATTAAAACAAGCCGACTTTGCCGGAAAATTAAGAGCATTCTTAAACATCTAAATTTCCATAATAACTACATATTTTTGTAGTGAAGAAATAAGAATATTAGTAAGAAATAAAAGACTTCACTTATTGCACATGTTGTGCTTTTATTTGTTACTTTAAAGGCAGATTAAATTAAGTACATAAAATAAATCATTCCGTTAAAATCTAAATATCATTTTTATTTTAAAGTTTCCAAAATTCGTATGGACTTCTGATTTGAGACTATTTTGCTTGCAATAGTTTGAGCATTAAGTGAATTTTCTGCTTATGTTATTTTAAGCTAAGCCTTGCTAAGATGCATATTAATTAAGTATACGTCTGGTTGGCCAGCTTTGTTTACTCAATGTTCACTTTCTTGACTGAAATGGTTGAAATAATTAACAAGATCTTGCAACTAAATGTTAGTTTCTCTAAGGGAGCCTAAAATTGTGCAACATTTAATTATAATTGCATAAATATTGCCCAATTGTTGAGCCGCAATAATCACGCAAACTGTGCACCTAAGCCTCAAAGGCAATTGATTAATGTTGCCAATGCCAATTAAATAAATCACGAAATGAAATGATTTTGGCCAGACTGCAAATTGGGCTTTAAATGGTCTGTGGCTGTCAAATTAATGCAAATGAACTTTTTGTTCTTCGTATCAAATTAATTATGTTTAAAATAAATCATTTATTATGATGTCGTAGCGCCGAAGACAGGGCCAAGCACTTAACTGTTAGCCGCAATGGGCCTTTGATTGAATTGAGAAAATTGGCATCAGCAAAAACATTTAGCAAAGAGTTGAAGCATTAATGAAAACAATAATTAACTTTGAAGCGAGCCGAGCGCTGTTCATAACTCGATTTGCCCCTGCCCCGCCCAGTGTCGGTGAATAAATTGAAAAACAATTAGAACACATTACATTTTTGAGACAACTCAGCAAAGTTTGCTCCACTTTTAGAGCAGCAGCTGCCCTCCACTTCCGCATCCTTGCGGCACGCTTTCTGTCTCTGTATGCGTGTGTGTGTGCGCGCCTCTCTTTGACGTTCTCATGTCTTTTGATTATTATTCTATTTAAATGAAAAATGCTTTCTTTCAATGTGAGAATGTCATTTGTATATTTAAGTTAAAATGAAAAATAGTTCTTGCCAAAGACAGCTTCTTAAAGTGATTTTCCTCTGTATTTTCTTAAAAAAAATGAAATTTTTTTAAAGCTCAACTTATGCATTGTTGTTGTCCGTAAAGACAAAAATAGTTTGAATTATTTAATGAAATATACTTTGTAATTTACATAAGAAAAACAAAAATGTGGTCGACATTTGGTTTAATTTAATTTCAATTTCAAAGTCATTTGGCAGCATGAAGCTGGCTCACATTTGCGACCCAAAGTGTTTGCCTTTATTATTATTGTTAAAAATGGGTTCAAATTAAAGGAAGCATCTCCTATATACATTCCTGATCAGCATCAAAGGCCGAGGCGATTTAGCCATGTCCGTCTGCCTGTCCATGGCTTTTTTTAGCCATCGGCTTAGGGTATCTCCTAGTCGGCTAAAATAGAGCCAAATTCGGTATAACTGAAGGTCGAATATATTCCTTGGAGTTGTTGATGCATATATTTGTAAAGGTCTTCCAATATTTCATAAAGAAAACTTATTAATTGGGTGCCACGGAAATCTCTGAATTGCCTTTGCGATAGATTGGGGTAAATAAAAAATATATTTTTTTATTGAACTGCAGGTTGGAGGTTTTTCTTATTTATTTTTAATATATACAAAGGTTTGAATTTTATATGAAGCTGTCAACAGTTTAGTCAAGTGGAAGAAAGATATGATATGATATGATATGACACTCATAAAGATTTCATTTTATTTTAATAAAATAAAAATCAAATAATTGCCTTGAAGATGGTTGCCGATCTGCAGCCGAAATATATATATTTATTATTATTATATTTATTATTTTTTAATATACTATTCTATTTTTATATTATATTTAATATTCCCTAATTTTTGGATTGGCTGCCGAATGCTCATTGCTAAATTATCTAAAAATAATCTAATTAGTGTCTATTTATTTATGGGTTGCTGCCCTTTATGAAAGCCTAACCTACACAATATTGTGCGATTTTGCTGGTAATTCATTTCGGCTCGAATAAGTTGACTTTGCCCAGCCATTTGCAGCATGTTAAGTGACGGGTATAATGAATGTTTCCAGTCAGCTTTTACATATCAATTTCAAATAATAACAATATATAAATATTGACAAGGGCAAGCAAAACAGGCGCAGCTGCTACTGACATGATCCAAGAAGGCGAAGCAAATATGAATTTTCCATGTGGGCATGTGTAGCCAAAGTGTGAATGTTTATTTTGTATAACTTTTTTACAGCGGCAAGTATGCATACTTGATGTTGTTTGTGAATAACACACACAGCAGCCGCAGCAACAGCAGCAGCAGCCGGCGCTCCTTCAAAGGATGAACCTTTTGCGCGCGCCAGTCTTTCATATGTTAATCCCATAGAGAGCTGAGCCAGCTGTGCAGCGGATTACCCAGTTAGTCAGTTAGTCGCCCAGCTTGGTGTACCTGGGCGCGA